GTGCACATCCCGGATTATCCCGGGAATGCTCAAATGTCGTTTTTGTGCACGATTCGAAGTGGTGTCAAACGGCTAGGGGCTTTATAATAGGTACGGATTTGGGGTTTGACATTTTCGATTTATGCGTTTCAGTTTGAATGGATTTTGGTCTCATTTGCCGTAATATTACATTTTACAGATTTAACTTAATTTGTGTTTTTAGGGTTCCGTAACTGAAATGAAAAAAAACGGAACACGTATTATAGGATCACATTATTGTCCGTCCGTCTGTCAAGAACCTTTATCTCGGGAACGCGTCGAGGTATCGAGTTGAAATTAAAACCACATACTCAGTCTACAGTCCCTCAAATCTGTAAAAAAAATCAAACTTTTAAAGTAGTATACATGTATTTCGACACTCTCAACGGAATCAAAATTTATAGGGTGTTTTCCGTTGACCTATATAGAACTATGAAACTTACTATATAGGGAAAAATCTGACAACTACAATCTAACCAAACCAAACCAAACCAAACCAAATCCCGTTTATACTTTTTCAAATTTCCATACTTAATTTCCATCATTCAGCATTGAACTAAATAAATTTTGTGCTTTAACGTTTCAGACTAACAAAAAATATGACATTAATTAAAATTCTATCAATAACAATCTATCAAAGAATGAAATCGAAATGATATTATCATAGAAACGGTCTAATTTCTAATTACAGTCGTTGGATAAGAAATGCCCTTTTGAAGTGACAAAACTGGTAAAAATAGCTAATTTTAAGCATCAATTTTAGCTATACTACTGAACCGAATTGAACGAATTTACACACATTCTACGCAGAATTGTTGAACGACAGAACGCGAAAATGTTGGTGTAAAATGCTAATTTGATGCTCTGTAACTTTTATTGTATGGTATATTATTTAGAATGATTGTTTCCGTGTCACGAACGTTTGAATGTCACTATAATGCGTTTATCAGCAAAATAGGTAAATATCACCATTCTTCATATTTCGGTTTCTGCCATACTACTAGACCGAATTGAACGAATTGATACTCATTATACGCAGAATTTAATGGTCTTTAATTTTTGTAATAATAAAATATTGGCTAGAAGGCAACGTTTCGGAACTATAAGGGAAAATCTGAATAAAGTCCAAGAATTTTACCATTTTTTGGTCTTCCAGAGTCGAGCGGTGGTCGAGCAACCGTGCAAAACTAGGATACTTATCTTTCATGTCAACTGAACAAATCAAGACCAAACCAACACTTTTTTAATACAATCACTAGAATCGATTTATTATAGTTTTTAAAGACAAATTAAATTTAGTGGAAAATAAATGGACTTCAATGATGCAAAGTTGTAAACAAAATATCCAATATATCGAAATGACATTATTTTTATATTATTCTTGAAAATTCCTTCCCATTGCCAATATGTAAAGGTTAAGAGGCAGCCAACAGGTTTCCCCCTACATAAGCAGACACATATGATATCAGGGATGCAGAACTTCACGAGCATCATTCACACGTGTCTGGGATGAAGAATAAATACCCTTATTTAGACACGTGTATAATACTTCAGTATAAAACCAGATTTGGAGTTTATTTTATTTACACGAAAATAATTTAATTATATGGGCATAATATGGTTTTATTAATATAAGTATCAGAATCTTTGTCAATTTATAATCGCTCGAAAAATATGGATTAATTAGTGCAAATACATGAGCCTTAAATTTTTGTTGTTAGTTAAATCTTGAGAAATATTAATAATGGTAATTTTATATACCACATGATCGCAAAAAAACCGTCAGAGATGGCCTTTGAATAAAAATATTAAGGAACGAATGTAATGCTATCCATAGTAAGGGTCGGCATTTCTGGTCTTGGGTGCCGATTTTCGTGTGTATGAAGAGTACGGTCAATACGCTTAGTAGAATGTAGAATGTAGAATGTTTATGAGGGGTGTTAATCACCGCGACCTTATAGATCTATTGTGTGTTCCCCTTTCTTGAGTTATAAGGAGTTATAACTCATCATACAGTCTCAGGGCTTTAAGAAAAGCCAGTATCTGAGACGGCTCCACAGAGACCAGCTCTCCATCCTCGACATCAGACGTACCAAGGTTCATGGCACGAATGGTCGTCGTCTCGGCGCACTCAGTGATAAGGTGTTCTGGTGTTTCCCCATTTTCCCCACAAAATCTGCATTCGCCGTTGTTTCTCAGTTTCAGCCTACTGAGGTGTTCGTTCCGAAGATTGTTTTTACTTAAATCAAGGAAAACCTTTGATTTTTCTCGGTCATAAGTTCTAAGGAACTTTTTCGAGTGTCTTAGACCGTTGGAGGACACCCATTCCAAGTTACGGATGGAGTCTTCCAGATTCTTCAATTCCGCTTTCAGTTGGTTCCCGTTTGGAAAACAGAACGGTTCTGGTCCAGTTAGTGGAGTGTTCGCTCCTTTTCTAGCTAGATCATTTGCTTTTTCATTGCCTCCTATCCCTTGGTGAGCAGGCACCCAGAGTAGGAGGACTTTATTTTCTTTGCCTAATTTGTTGAGCTTCTCTAGGCATTCTTTGACCAACTTCGAATTGATGGTTACTGAGTTGATCGCGTTAAGTGCTGCTTGACTATCGGATAGGATGGCAATTTCCTGTTTTCAATAGTTCCTATCTAAGATAAATTGTACGCATCTTTCTATAGCGCAAATTTCTGCCTGAAGGACATTAGGGTAGGTGCCCATTGGTTCGGAGTATTCAGTTTTCGGCCCAAATACTCCTATCCCTGTCCCTGCTTTGGTTTTGGAAGCATCAGCATACCACGTGATGGTATGGTCTTTTATATGCTGAGTAAGCGTTTCTTTCTTCCAATCCTTTTTATTACTCAATACTACAGTGAGGTGTTTCTCAAAGTTGTAAATTCTTGGTATGTCATCCACTGGGAGTTGGAGAAGTGGAATTTTCTTTTTGAGGGTGTTCCAAGCCCCTGACCTGAAAATTCTCCCAGTACTGTTTCCGTCAGTAACCATTATAATCATTGTCGCATTGGCATAACTACTGACGACAATGTGCAGTGGTGTTAGGTCTAGAATGATCTCCATTGCTGCTGTTGGACATGTTCTAATGGCACCTGTGATGCAGATACATGCCAGTCTCTGTACTTTGCACAGGTTTTGCCTTGCTGTACGTTGCTCTAGTTTTGTATACCAAGCAACTGCTCCATAAGTAATCATGGGGCTTACTATCATGGTATACATCCAGCGCAAAATGTTAGGGGCGCAGCCCCACCTATTTCCCGCCAGTCTTCTGCATATCATGAGAGCCTTTGTGGCTTTGCTGGTAACGCTTAGTAAAGTAAGATGTACTGAATAAAGACAGAAGGCAAGTATTGTTCCAAGCGCATGGAATCTAGCGTCAAATTAAGTGATTATGTAATAAATACTTCGTATTTTTACCCTCTCCGACTAGATTGCCATAGCGATTCACTTCTATACATGCAAACGCCGAGCCAAGGTTTCGCTTGCCAGCAAGGTATACTTACTTACTTGCTGCCATTACTCGCTGACGAGTATTTGACACGCATCAGAAGGTGGTTACGCAAGGCGTTTTCTTTCATGAGCTTTTCTGTGACTGAAAAGCCCGATGCGTGATGTTATCTCTCTTCCGCACTCCGGACATTCAAACATCTCATACTTTGTTGCCTCTTTACTTTTTGGTTGTCGTTGTTAACTGAGTTAACAATTCTCCTCCGTTGCGTTCTATTTTGCGCTGCGTCCTCCCACTGATGCTGCATAGTACCCCCTTTAAGTTTTCATGGAAAATATCTTTGTATCTTTTGAGTTATCTACCCGGTTTCCTCTTACCCTCTACAAGATCACCGTAATAAAGAGATTTCGGTAGGCGGTTTTCTTGCACCCTGCATACGTGGCCAGCCCATCTTAAGCGGGATTTAGTAATCATGACTTCAGCGCTCTCGCAGCTTGCTTTTTCAAGGACTGAAACGTTTCAGACATGGTGGTACCATTTGATTCTTAACAGTTGTCTAAGGTGTCTCTGTTGCAACTTATTTAATGCGTTCATGTGTCGGCGGTACGGCACCCAGGTTTCGCCTCCATATAACATGGTGGGTATTATTATTGCTCGGTACACTGCAAGTTTCGTTTTTGTGCTCAAGTCATGATTGTAGAAAAATCTGTCTTTTAATTTCCAGAATGCTCTTGAGGCGCTGCTAGTTCTGTGCTGAATTTCAGAGTCGATATTGGCCTTTTCCGATATCAATATCGGAATCAATCATCAATATCGCAAGGTATAAATATATACCCATATAACTTTTTTTGCAGAGATCCGCCATAAAGGTATAAACATTTTTTGCTATCAATATATTTATTCATGGTGGACAGAATCACCATAGTCCTTACTATCCTTAACAGTTCTGTTGACATTTGAATTTGATTTGAAATTTTGTGGATTTGTTTGTTCTTACTGAGCTTATTTAATCTTATTTATTACTTATTCTACAATTAGTTTAGTTTAGAGGTAGTGAATTTAGAAGGATTTTTTTTGTATCAGAACTTAAATTAACAGTGACACTATTACGGTTTATCGAAAAAGACACTCAGCCTGGGACACTTTCTATATCCTTGATATTTATTTTATATCCTATGATGACAATGTTTTTATTATCATTTTCTATGATTAAAAAATATGAGATTTTTAAATGTTAAGTACTTTGTATAAACACCCATATTATCCCTTCAATCATCAGAAAGGACCTTTTCGGTTTAAATGTCAGACTAAACATTTATCAACCCTTCGAAGGAATTTTGTGTTATTGTTATTCTTCATGGCTGGGGTTCTTATCCACAATACACACACGTTTATAGATAATATGTTTCTATTTTTTCTTTATTTTCGGGTTCCAAATTTTGCGGTCAGATTACTAGACCCGGAAATATTATATAAACTTAGGAAAATAAAAATAATAGTTTAGTGTGTTTATATCTCCATAGTCAGATTAGAAATTCTAGTTATTTTTTCTGTTTTTTTTTCTTGGTAGAGAAAATAGTGCTATATAATGTCTAAAAAAGCTTTTGTTAGAGATGCTGTGGCCAATCAGTTAGTAGAGTATGCTGAAAAACATGAAGTAAGTAAGTTATGTTATCTTAGAAATGAAAAAATTGAGGAAATTTATAAATTCTTTGTCTTTTAAGAAAAAAAATAGTCTGGCTAATCTGTGAGAATGAGTAATAGGTATGTCTGGCAGGTGAAAAAATAGATAAAAATTATTAAAACCATCGCCCTTATTTTCGCAATCCTAAAAATTTATCAGATGATAGTTTATATTATAATTACAGCTGTAAATATAGTCTGGCTCATGTGGAACATCTCGAAAGCCTTGCCAGACTCGTCCAACGCTCAGGCACGCTAAATTCGGCATGTTCAATTATACAGGTGATTATTGTCATCTCTACATGTTTTTACTTTTTATAATTTGTAAGAAAAATATTGGTTTCGGGCAAAATTTGACTTTGGCCACAAACACTTTTCTCAACGTTTTGATTTTTTGTACTAATTATTAGAGATATAAGAACGTTGTATTAATAAATATCAAATATTTGTGGTAGGAAATGTAATTCTCTACAAAATTGATCTCTTGGCTTTATTTTGGTTTCTCCCTTAATTTTTGAGCAATAGCAATAAAAAATGTGGTCAAGGTGACTTGTCCACATTTTTTATTGAGTATGAGTGGCAACAATTTTTGCATCTAAAAATACGAAATATACGACCTAACTTGTGAGTCTGGCGGGGCTTTCGTGATTGTAAATGACAGCCAGACGTGTATTTCCCATGAAATTATAGTATTATTTAGCATGTGACAAATTTTCAAATCGGGGAAAATAAGAGCAAAAATGTTGTAATTTTTACAATTTTCAAGAGGTCGCCATCCAGACTTATTTTCCAATTTCGTAAATCAACCAAACTTGCTTTTGATTAAAGTTTATGATATTATCAAAGGATACGTTAAATCTCAAACATGGGAAATTAAGGGTTATGGATTTCAAAAATCTGTCAAATTTTTGCATCCGCAAATTTTCAGCCAGACTGATGAATTTCCGCCCTTTGGGATGTACCAGACTGTTATTTCCATTAATAAAATAATTCATTTTAATGAATGTCAAATATTTTTGATTGGAAGAATAAGTGCAGTTTTTTATTTTATTTAGAAAACTCATCCGAAAATTTTATTTGGGGAAAACTTATTCACCATTTTTAAAATTTGCATAATATGTTTCCAACGACAATGGTATAAATATGCTGCGTATAACAAAGGACTACTATTGTTACAGGGTGAAAAAAACTCTATAACCACGAACTCTGGCAACCCTATAGGAACCAAAGATGCTAGTTTAACGGTAGGCTACCACGGACCAACTTTGCTCCAAGATGTGATGCTTCTAGATGACTTAAGTCATTTCACCAAAGAAAGAAACCCGGAAAGGGTGGTCCACGCCAAAGGTGCGGGTGCTTTTGGGTACTTCGAGGTCACCCATGATATAACCAAGTACACTGCTGCCAAACCCTTCGCTCAAATTGGTAAAAGAACTCCCATAGCGATGAGGTAAATTGAAAGCAAATATTTAGAAAATAAAATATAGTAAGTTAAGTTAAAATATTCATTATTATTGATATTGGTGTCAATGTACAGTGATTAAAAAATATATTATATTATATTTATAAAGTTGGTATTTAATTATTTTTTACTTCTAAAAAAATAATCTATCTAATTAATCAAAAATTCGATTTTTGATAAATTTTTAATATTTAATTTTCAAAGTCAATTATTTTCCATTAAACATTGTTCGTCCGGTCTATACAACGAATACGGGGTTGTCAAGATGACCAAAAAATCCTCATTTCAAAGAATTTTTATTCAAGTAACAAAATTCAATAAAACACTTCTAGATTTTCGACTGTGGCTGGAGAACGTGGTTATGCCGATACTGTAAGGGATGTTAGAGGATTTGCCATCAAATTTTACACAGACGACGGAATTTGGGATATAGTGGGAAACAACACGCCCGTATTCTTTGTTAAGGACGCAGCTGTTTTCTCCAGTTTTATTCATGTAATGAAAAGGTATACTTTCCCATCTTCAGCCTAGAATTACTCTACTGATTTTATTATTTAACACTGTTTTAAATTAGTATCTAACATACAGAATGTCCCCGGATAGTACCACAGTTTAAAGAATTTCTATACTAATATATAAAATCCTTAAGTAACTGACTCACTGATTAATCACGATCCTGCTCAAACCACTCAACGTAAGAAGCTCAATTTTGGCATACAGGTTGATTCTAGGGTGTAGAGGTTCGATAAGAAGGGATTTTTCGAAATTCCAGTTCCAAGGGAGTGAAACCACCCCTCAAATATTACAATATTTTTTATTTAAAAAACGGTCAAGTTTCCGAAAAAACGCTTAAACACGTATATCTTATTTTGTTTTTTTACATATTTTAAGATTTTTTAGATATGTATTCAGGGTGTTTCGAAAAATCTGGTTATTGATTAATCACGATTCTGCTTAAAGCGCTTGACGTAAAAAGCTGATTTTTGGAAAACGGATTGACTTTAGGGTGTAGAGGTTCGATAAGAAGGGATTTTTCGAAACTCGAATTCTAAGGGCGTGAAACCACCTGTCAAATATTAGAATATTTTTTATTTAAAAACCGGTGAGTTTTTCGGAAAAACTCTTAAACACGTAGGTATATTTTATTTTGTTGTTTTACATATTTTTGGATTTTTTAAAAATCTATACAGGGTGTTTCATAAAATATGACCATTTGGTAATCACGATTCTGCTTAAACTGCTTGACGTTTAAAGCTGATTTTTGACAAACGGATTGACTATGGGGTGTAGGGGTTTAATAAGGAGGAGTTTCTCGAATCTCAAATTCCAAGAGGGTGAAAACGCCCCTCAAATATTACAATATTTGATATTTAAAAAACGGTTAGTCTTTCGGGAAAACGCTTGGACACGCATAATTTATTTTGTTTTTTACATATTTTGATTTTTTTTAAATCATACAGGGTGTTCCAAAAAGTTGGGTAATTGATTAACCACGATTCTGCTTAAACTGCTTGACGTAAAAAGCTTATTTTTGGCAAACGCATTTTTTGAGAGTCAAATTCCTACGAGATGAAACTACGCCTCAAATATTACCAAGTTATACATATAATAATATCGCCATATTGTTTTTTCTCATGCTGACATAAATGTGAGAAAATTTTCTTCAGTTTGTATGCTAATGGAAATTCTTGAAATTCAATAAAAAAAAAAACTACTAACTGCCATCACAGTTTAAAGAATATACATAGTATACTAGCGTGTACCGGCCACTTCCTTCGCGTCGAATTAATCATTTGTAATGGTGATAAAGCAAAGCAAGATGTAATGGAAATTCTTGCTTTGCTTTATCACCATTACAAATGATTAATTCGACGCGAAGGAAGTGGCCGGTACACGCTAGTATACTATGTATATTCTTTAAACTGTGATGGCAGTTAGTAGTTTTTTTTATGTCAGTGTAATAACTCTGCAAGTGTAAATGAACAGTTTTAACTGTTTCTGACGTACTTACATATAGTGGGGAAGTTCTGCATTGTCAATTTGAGATCTGCTAATAAAAAAATTATATATTTTTTGTTCAAAACGATATTACTATCAAATGTATTTTTTGTAAATTCCATTCTTGTAATAATTTTTGTCATTAGGAATCCGGTAACAAATATTCGTCCAGACTACGACATGTTCTGGGATTTTGTTTCTCTAAGACCCGAATGTACCCATCAAACACTGATTACGTTCTCTGACAGGGGTACTCCCAAATCTTACAGAAATATGCATGGGTATGGTTCACATACGTATTCGTTTGTGAACAAAGAAGGCGTGGTGCATTGGATCAAGTACCATTTCATTACCAATCAAGGTATCTAAATATACAGTGAGATAAAGAAATAGGTAGACAAATGCGTGTTAACAATTACATTATTTAAAATATTAAATTAAAAATATTTTTGTTAATATTACATCAGTGTTATTCAAATATATTTTCAAACTAAAGTTGTATAGTTTTAGATCGAATGATATACAGGGTGGTCTGAATAAATATCGACTTTAGTTCAAAAATTATTTGAAAAAAAAAACTTTTACACCCTGTATCTCCGAAACGAAGCATTTCAGGCATAACAAATGCATAACGGGACAAAAAAATGTAAACTCTGCTTGCTTATGATTTAAAATAAATTGTCAATGTTGTGTAAATTTAATTTTTGAGTAATCCTGTATAAATGAAACAACGTAGCAAACTTTAGTAACCTAAATTTTGAAGAAAATATTATTATACGGTACGTCAAATAAAAAATTATTCAAAATTCTGACTGAGCTTTAAATAAGTTTTTAATAAAATTGTTCATTCAAATTTAAAGTGTTATATTTTTGTTATTTTTAGCCCTATTTGCATGCATTTTTTAGCGAACTGTATATAATTATATCAACTTTAATTCGTAAACTCAGTTTTTTGCAAACTTTAGTAATTGGCATATTATACAGGGTTAATCGAGGGGTTGTTCTTTTATCCTAACTTTAAAACACCCTGTGCAATAATTTCGTGTGTAATTTTTTTAAAATATAATTTTACGGTAAGAACCATGTTTCCTGAGCATTTTGTTCTTTTGGATCACGTCAATACATGCTTTGGTTAATTTTTAAGAGCGAAATGAACTGATCACGACTAATTTGCAATTTTTTCAGTTATCATTACTTTTGATGTAATTTTTTAAAAGACGAGATGGTTTTGGTGAGTATTGTCATAACGTTATATTATGCTGCATCGGATACTCTATAATAGTAAATTAAAAAAAAACGTTAAAGACTAACGATACAGTCCTGGTTTTCATAAACATTAATAGCGATATTAAGGAAAACATCTGTAATACTGAAGTATACAAACAGAAAAAAAAATGTAAAAAATACCCTAATACTTTGTATTGCCTCCCGTGGCTGCTATAACTGCCTGTATGCGTCCGGTCATACTGTCATTGAGGCTGCATATATCATATCGCGTTATGTTTTCCCATTCTTCTTTTAGAATCAAGCGAAGTAGGGGAGCGGGGGGCACGTTGTTACACGGGTAAGAAGTTACACACGCTTTTTTTACCAAGATTTTAAACTCTTTGATGGACATAAGTGGACTCATTTGTTTTCTTATAACATTGTGCATTACATAAAAATTATCAGTGACTCTCCAAGCGCCAAACTGCTAAGTTGTGTGCATGTGTCTCGATTTGAACCAAGTAAGTAAACAAATCCTTTACGAAATTTTTGATTCCTGATGTCTATACTTTTTATTTTCTCAAAAATGTTTACTTTGAACGTTCATAATATATTTACCTTTAATTTGCAATGTTGTGTTCTTCTACTATCGATATCCATTAATGCTGACTTCAATTTATATTTAAAAACGTGCCATGGGGCAGGTAGTTACAATTTATTGGGGTAAGTTGTTACATGTAACATCTTACCCCAAAAAATTACCATGCCTTTTATTGTACCGTTCGTCTTCATATTTTAAAAATTCTAAATATTCTTTGTTGTAGAGAAACTATAAAAGAAAAACAGAAAGAGGTACAACTAGTCAAGAAATTTATGAACCGCAACAAGTACTGCAGAATAAATCGAGCATTCGTAAAGCAAGCGAAATGTTCAATTTGTGTCCGACGTCCTTATCCAGGGATGTCAGAAAAAACAAAACAACGAAAGTTGTTCATTGGATTACGTTAAACCTAGATTGGTATTCTCACAAGAAACAGAACATAAATTAGCTTCTTATCTACTCAGAAGTTCAGAAATATATTTTGGTTTACTACCAACAGAAGTTTGAAAACTAGCTTACCAATATGATGTAAAACTCGAATTAACAAATACAAAGCTGACTTCCCCCAGCTGGCTTAGAACTAATATGGCTGGGCCGGACTGGTTTAAAAGTTTTATGGATAGAAATACTCGACTATCTCTACGAACACCAGAAGCTATTATTCTTTATTATTAAAAAATATTTTTTTTTTGCTATTATTTTTTTTTATAATAGTGGTTCTCAAAATTTAAGCAAAAAAGCATTTTTTGTTTAAATTTTCAAAGTAAAATTACTCGGTTATTTTGGACTTACTTGAAAAACGATAAAGAGAAAAAATGTTTCTTTTGGCCAAATCTACCCCCCTTAAAATACTTGCACTTATTTCTGGGACACCCTGGGTAAGGGTCAAATCACCTCAAGTAATGGTGATTTTCGCTCGGACGAAAAAATCTCTTTTGCCTCCGATTTTTTAAAAATATTGAAATTGTCTTGATCAAAATGTTTATAAAGATCAATATATCGGGTCGGACATGACTGAATTTTTACTAGAAAATCGCTCAGTTTCACAGGGTTCTACCTACTGTTTTATTTCCATTATCGATAACGGTAATTAATTTGATCTTGAATATTTTGAATCACGGTTTTGAGAAACTTTAAGACTTCCTGATTCATTCAGTTCAGCTGGCGCAATCCTCTGTGAAATACATTATTTTTAGCTTTCCAGGTATATACTTTCTTACAGATTGTAGAAAGAAATTCTCTCTTTTCTCGTACAGCAGCAGCTTCGTCATGTATACGTGTTTTAATTTTGGTATAATTCTCATCACGTAACTTTTCCTAGTTTCTACATTTGGCATCTTGTATGATAATGCCATGACTCAAACGAAAAAAATCTAGACAATACCTAAGCAGTGGATATAAATGTGTTTTAATAAAAGTCTTAAATAAGTGCAAATATTTTCAGGGGTGGTATATTTCGACCTCAGGAACATGTCTATTTGATATCTTTTTTGTAAAGAAAGATGTTGAAAAACTTTTCGTTTAAATTTTCCTGTATATTTTAAAAAAAAAATTTAAAAGTTCTTGTTCACCGCAAATTTTCCCACGGTATAGTTTCTTAATATTTGATATTACGGCACAAAAAGAGATGCAAATACAGAAAGATTGAGGTGGCAAAATTTTTAAAAATAAATCAGTTTTTTTTAAATTCAAACTTTAATAACTCGGTTATTTTGGACTTATTTGAAACACGGTAAAGAGAATAAATTATTTTTCTTTTATTCATATCTACCAGCCTTGAAAATATTTGCACAAAGCAGCACAATAAATAAGGTGCACTTATTGACTCACCTTGTATAATAAAACATTTCAAATGGAACAACAAACAACAGATGTTTATTAAAATTATAAGTGTCTCAGAGGAGGACATCTAACAATAGTTATTTTACAAATTGGTGTTTATGTGTTTAAAAGCAACTAACGATTATATTGATGATCATTGATTAGTTAGTTAGTCAGTCACTAAGAATCTTACATAATTTTAGTTAGAAGATTAACCATTTAATTTTTGCTAAACCAATCTTTTTTGAGCTCTGATCAAGACCGGCTCACCGGCCCATCCACCCCTGCCTCCTGCCAAGCATTTCCCAAACTTCGAACGTGATGGGCCGTTCATAGTAGTATATAGTTCACAATAATCACCAACGCTGTCTTGTCATATTGAAAAAAAACTTCAAAAATAAATTATAATTGAAAAAATTGCAAATTGTTGGTGGCAAGTTCTTTTCGCTCTTAAAAATTAACCAAGGCATGTATTGACATGATCCAAAAAACGAAATTCTCAGGAGACATGGTTCTGACCCTAAAATTATATTTCAGGAAAATCTACACACGAAATTATTGCACAGGGTGTGTCAAAGTTAGGGGGAAAAAACAACCCCTCGATTAACCCTGTATAATATGCCAAATACCAAAGTTTATAAAAAACTCAGTTTACAAATTAAAGTTGATATAATTATATGCAGCTTGATAAAAAAATAATAAAAATAGGGCTAAAAATAACAAAAATATAACAGTTTAAATTTGAACAAAATTTTCTTCGTTGCGTTTTTTGCATCTGAATGTATTTTATAAATCACTCGGTATACAATGTAACACAGTGGTATATTTCTAATAGGAATTTAATAAAAAATCCACTGACCTAAAAAATCTATAGCATACCATTAAAAAACATTCAAATTTATTTTGAAAATATGTTTTCAATAAAAAATAAACGAGAAAATAAAAAAGACCAAACTAAAAACCTGATATAGAGCATTTTTTCTATGTTTACTTATTTCGCTGAGTTTTTTCCGGTACATTATTTCTCTTTTTAATTGATTTATTTATTTTTCTCGAGGTATCCAAAACTTATCGGCCAGAGACGCCCAAAGAATAGCTGGCGAAAATCCGGACTACCACACCAGAGACCTGTACAATGCCATAGCAACTAAAAATTTTCCTTCGTGGGACTTTTACATTCAAGTGATGACCCATGACCAAGCTCTGAAAAGTCCCTACGACCCTTTTGACCTGACAAAAGTCTGGTTGCATGCTGACTATCCGTTGATACCCGTAGGGAAGATTGTGCTGAACAAGAACCCTACCAATTATTATGCTGAGATCGAGCAGATTGCTATGGATGTGGCTCATTTGATACCAGGTACGATTTTCTACAGTGTTGTCCGAATATTATTGTATTTCCCGAATATTTATTTGTTTTGTTGCTGTAAAGCTGCGTCCAAGCTACTCGAACAAAACTTCGCGAACATATATAATTCACACTATATACTCGTAGCAGCAAGTCGTAAACGACGGCACAGCCCATCGCATCGGTCCCGAGGACTGAGATGCGGGGAAGAATGCGACAACCAGTTTGCTCTATAGATCTAGGATGCGTTTAGGTAGTCGCTGTTTTTTCGAGTGCCCGGATTTCGAGTGCAAGCATTTTAATAAATAAATTAACCGGTAAACAGTTTAAGAACTTTTGTCGTTGAAGAATCAATATTTAGCAGGCGGAGGGTCACAGGGGTCTTTTGGTAGATTATTTGTTATAGTGTATTTTTAAGACCTGTATGTTTCATTTTCAGCCGATTCTACCAGGTGTTTCTCAAAAGGGGCTCATTTTTTTTACTTTTTTAATTTTTCAGATAATACAACGAAATTTGGTTTGTTAGTATATGATATAAATCGGGATTAATTGACGTATTCAATTACCTTCGGTCGCTTCCTGTTTCGCCGGAAAACAACAACTTTGTATTTTTAGATTGTATCCTAAGTACTTTTTTACTTTATTTGATAGAAAACGACATTCTAAATAGAATGACATACCATACGTCAATTTTAGACAATTCCAATTAAATAAAAATAGAATTTTAAATTTCAGTCTAGAGTGCCAAGACTGAGTTAAAACTATTAATTTGTAATCACAGAACTTTGGAAACATATATTTGATCGTGTAATTTTTTTTCGTATTCTTTCATGACCGCTTAAAAGATGCCCAAATCGTATTTTTAATGATAACTCAAATTTTTCAAATGGTACGAGGCTGGCTCAGCATATTTGGAAAAAGCATTTTTTACAAATAATTTGGTACCACATACTTGGTATTTGGAGTAAAATTGACGTTACGTTTATTTATGGCCATTTTTAAATTGAAAATGTCAAAAGTTGACATATAATATATCATTCTATTTAGCATGGCATTTTCTATCATATACGGTAAAAAAATACCGAGGGTACCATTTAAATCAAAAGTTGTTGTCATTTCCGGTGAAATAGGTAGTGACCGAAAATAAATGAAAACGTCGATCAATCCTGATTTATGTCCTATACTAACATACCAAATCTCGTTTTTTATCTAAAAAATTAAAAAAGTTATAGAAGTGAACCACTTTTCAGAAACACCCGGTATATTTATTTCTAAAAATGTAATGGTAAAATTTCATAAGCTGATTTTTGGCAAACGGATTGACTGTGGGGTGTAGATGTTCGATAAGGAGGGGTTTCTTGAATCTCAAATTCCAAGAGGGTGAAAACGCTCCTCAAATATTACAATATTTGTTATTTAAAAAACGGTTAGCCTTTCCGGAAAACGCTTGGATAAGGAGGGGTTTCTTGAATCTCAAATTCCAAGAGGGTGAAAACGCTCCTCAAATATTACAATATTTGTTATTTAAAAAACGGTTAGTCTTTCGGGAAAACGCTTGGACACGCATAATTTATTTTGTTTTTTTGCATCTACAACCTAACCAACATGCATTACTCCATAACATTCTTCCTTTTTCTTACCCGGATTCTCCTAATGAATTCATTCTTTAAACATAGGAGTAGAGATATCTCCGGATCGCATGTTGCAAGGACGTATGTTTGCCTACAGAGACACTCACCAGTACCGTTTAGGTCCAAATTACAACCAGCTGCCTGTGAACAGGCCCTATGTCGTTCACAATTACTCACGTGACGGATACGGTACGACCAATAGTCAGGGTGGTGCTCCAAACTATCACCCTAACAGTTTCGAAGGGCCTGTAGATGATAAAAGAGCTCAAGCCTTGTCACCAAGCATACCACTGCATGGAGAAGCTAAAAGGTTAGCGCTTTAGTTAATATTTTAGGAAAAACCACCAAATTTCTAATTTTTATTATTATTGTTGTATTGTCCCCAGCAATTACTATACAGGGTGAGTTTTAAATAAGAGCAAAAAGATGTTTGGGGCTAGTAGATCTCGATAAAGGAAACATATATTTTCTATTCATACCTTTTTCTGCATCTTTTCTGGGTTTTCTTTGATAAAAATTTAATCTACTACCCATGTTGCCATTATTATCATGAAATTATGTTTGTAACTAAAAGTTAAAAAAAATTTCAAGAAAATCCAAATTTTCAAAAAAAAATATTCGCGAAAAATACTATACCCATAAAAATATTTGCACTTATTTAAGACTCACCCTGTATAGAAAATTCTTCTATTTGAATTTTTATTTTCTCTTTTAGAAGAAATTTCTAAAGGAGAAATTTTAGTTTAGAAATGTGTTTTCTTCTCTTCTTTCTCAAATGCAACAATATACCGAATAATCGAAAAAAAAAACGTCAGCGATGGCTATGAAATGAAGATCGCTGTCATTTTATATGTAAAATTATATGGAGAATGTCATCGATCGTCACCTTCAAGCCAACTGGACGCCATTTTTTTCGATCATATCATTATCAATATTAAATAAAAAATGTTTCTTTTTCTTATACGTACAAAATCAAAGTGATTCGTATATCCATCCCCCTCAAACATATTGCTTTTTACTGTAACTTAATTTTCTTTATTAGAACCGTTTTTGAACCTCTAAAATTTTAAATTTCTATACAGGTACGCAATATAAAATTATTATTAAATATACAGGGTCCTCCAAAAGGGTCGGATATTTTATATGTTTTTTTTTATCCAGATACTACACAGTGTTCAAAATAAATTTATAAATTTTGACTTTGTATAGAGTAAAAATACTATGCTATACATTTTGTCATCGACATTTTTTTCTCCAAAAAAGTTTTCGCTTGTTCTAAAATGGTTAATTTCGTACACCGGGTATTTCTCAAAAGTGGCTCACCCCTATAACTTATATAAACGCCTATAAGAATTGATACGTTAGTATATGACATAAATCAGGATTGATTGACGTATAAAATTGTTTTTGGTCAATTTTTGTTTCACCGGAAATGACTACAACTTTTGATTTTTAAATTGCACCATCGTAACTGTTTTACCTTAAGAGATAGAAAATGACTCTCTGAATAGAATGACACCCAGTATACCAATTTTTACCCTTCTTTTTAATTCCTCCAATCATCTCTTAAACCTAAGAACTTTTTTGTTATTTTTTTGTTTTACAAAAATATCATTTTTTTTCTTCTCAACCGCCAGAATCGACAGTGGAAACGATGACAACTTCACTCAACCTCGTCTACTGTACGTCAGAGTACTGAAAGAAGACGAAAGACAAAGACTGGTCGAGAATTTGGTTGAATGGCTGAAACGCACTACAACAGTCATTCAGTTACGAGCCATTTCTAATTTTGAACAAGTGGATAAAACGCTCGGAAGCAGACTGAAAGAGGCACTGCATTTGGATCAGGAATACCACATTGAGTTCTGATAGAAACTTAAAAAAAATAGATTTTTTAAATACGTCTATTGAATTATAAGAAGTCTCGGAGAAATAAATAAACAGAGATTTGCTGAGATTTTGAAATAATTCATGGAAATAGTCGTTATAAATAATTATACAGGGTGGTCCGAACTGTGTTCCGGAAACTTCGGCAGTATATTCTGCCTTAAAAATAAGTAAAAAAGTCGTATAAATGTATGTCCTAAAATGCTTAGTTTCGGAGATACAGTGTGTAGAAGTTTCATTTTTATTTCGATTTTTCCGAATAATTTATGAAGTAACGTCAATATTTGGATGAAAATTGGTGTCTGGGAGTTTTGTATGTCTGGAAATTTGATTTTGATGTCTCTTGAATATGACTCCAACTTGTACAGGGCGTCACCAACATATTTTTTAACTGGTTTGAAGAAATTAACTTTTTTTTAAATATTTGCGACATTTTTTGCATAAAAAAGGTCTCCTGGTTACTTGGTTCTCGAGATATTTGGAATCGAAATTATCAGTACCTGTCATCATTTATATAAATTATTAAACATGTTGACTATATTTCTGATGATGGCTTTGTGTCAAAAGCTCAAGAGAAACTCTCATTTTTGCGAAGAAAAATGTATGATTAATTTAAAAATGTTGTCTTGAAAAAGTCAAATAACCATCTACACAACGTACCTATTTATTTTTTGTCAATATAATGACTTCTATTGACTATTTCCATTCTACATATCTTGAGAACGGTTGTATTGTATTTGATTAAGAGTGGGTCTCAATTGGGACCCTCCACTGCGGTCGCGAGGGCCTATTGTGGCTCAGTTTCTACAAGCACTTTAATAGAAAAAGAGCATTAAACTTCACCCTCAAGACCCAGCCTTTTAATATAGGCCGTTATGTCCGAGGGTGATATGTTTGATAAGTCTAGCGTAGGTTTACCAAACAGAAAACAAAAAAAACCTCAAACCTGGTCCAGCCCCCAGCGGGGCAGGTACACATAACGTGCTTCATTGTTTTTTCATCTTCCATAGAGAGTCGGCCTTCGGCGTCTTCCACCAGTCCCATCCTCTGTAGGTGTGATCACAGCCGTCAGTGGCCCGTGTATACTGCAGTAAGCGTACGCGCTCCGTTCCTACCAGCCTTTAGGAGTTCATCTGTTCTACGTTTGGATGGCCCTGCTAGGATTGTCTTGGCATGTTCCATTCCGGGACTGTCATACTAGTCCCGAAACGCCGCACCCCTAACCCATTCACAGAGCCTGTCTCTTGCGAGATTTTTTGGTACACTAAGTGTCGGTTCTGGGTCCACGAATGGCGAGCCTGCACCAGGCTCGCCAGGTTTTGGCGAGGGAATCAGCACGTTCATTTCCCTCTAGGCCGACATGTCCCGGTATCCATATTAGCGACACTTTGTTCCCATCTCCTAATATATTTATTTATTTATTTATTTATCAACGGGCTAAGCAGCCCAATAAAATAACAATATTGTATCAAGCCATCAGGTCATCCGCTAACAGGGTCCACAGAAGAGGAGAGAGAACTCCTCCTTGCGGGCATCCCCTGCCCGGAACAAACCTGACGGACTCACCGCTGAGCGAGGTCGTTGCTATTCGATTTTTGAGCATTTGCTCAATCCATTCAGTTATGGTTGCTTCGACTACTCGGGCTTTTACAGCGCCTAGGAGCGATTGAGGGGTAACATTGTTAAATGCTCCCTCAATGTCTAAGAATATCTTGCCCTAAAGATCCTTACTCAGCGAGGGACGATAATGCTATCAGCCTTCTGCAATAAGGCCGGGAACACCCCGTCCTCTCCTGGAGATTTAAATGGGTCAAAACTTTCGATGGCCCCCTTAGTCTCCCTATAGGTGATTACTTTCTTCGCTATCTCCCAATCCTCTTTTGTGGGCCGATTTTTGCGACTCATGAGTATTGGGGGAGGTCGTTCTTCATCACCTAGAATCAGGCAGCCTGGGAAGTGTTTTTGGGCCAAAATCTCTAGCGTTTCTTTCCTGGACTCTATGAAGTTACCGTCGGGACGCTGTATCGTCCCTAGCTCATTCACTGGTTCTTTTGAGAGAATCTTGTGAATTCTGGTGCTTTGGGGTAGATCGACCAGACTCCCAGAGACCCTTCTCCAAGACTCTCTCTTCGCCCTTCTTATTTCCTTATAGTACTCCGTCAACGTCGTACGATAGGTTTCCCAGTTACCTGACACTTTAGCGCGATTAAAGAGCTGTCGCACTTCTTTTCTTCTTTTGTCCAGTTTGTTGTTCCAGCAAGAGGACTTCCTATTATCCTTCTTTGTTTTAAGTGGACAATTTTCACTATAAGCCGTTATGATTGCACACCGCAGTTGTTTCGCTGCAATCTCGATCTCATCGCGATCTCTCACTTTTGCAATTGTGGGTTCCAGCAGATGCACGAGTGAGCGGTTGTATCCTTTCCAATCTGTGCACTTTGGATCCCTATATTGCAGGAGAGTTCTTTCACCTTCGCTTATTTCAAACTGTATGTATCTGGGATCCGAGCACGATGGCTCAGATGATACCCTCAGTTGGATATCCTGGTGCTCAAATAGTTGGAGCTGACCGTAATGTCTTTGAGAACGGTTGCGCACAGCAATTTTTACCAAGAGATATTTTTTACGTAAAAAGTCACGGAAATGTATATTTTTTTACTCAGTAGTTTTATACAGGTGCGGACGAAAAGTTATTACAGTTAAAACCCCCTACAAATAGGAATCGTATTGACACATCTGAAGTTACTTCAGAAATTATTTGGAAAAAATCGAAATAAAAATTAAACTTCTACACCCTGTATCTCCGAAACTAAGCATTTTAGGACATACATTTATACGAACTTTTTTACTTATTTTTATCTGCTGCCGAAGTTTCCGGAATGGTGTTTGGACCACCGTGTATACTATTCTCAAGTTATTTTGTCATTACGTAACACAATTTTATAAGTTATTTTTACATCTTCGGTGTGTTTTATTTACAATGACCTAGATAAATCAACTTTACCAGTAATGCACGCCAATCTTCATCAAAAAACTACAAAATAGTAATCATTTAGAAAGCTTACTTGATTTATTTAGGTGACGCAATTCTGTTTTAATTAAATTAATACAAGAAATAGAATTCTAAAATATTTACTTTATTTTAGTTTATTTGATTCCTATTTGAACTTACATTTTAATGTATTCGTAAATTTTTGGACAATTTAAACTACTCTAACTAGAGTAATTTTTGACAACTAAGCTGTCTTTCCCTTATAGGAATTAAGGCTGTATTCCGTTGCAAAATCAGGCGAACCAGACCGGTAAACTACGGTAAAGAGCGGTTCCTGAAAAACATCGGTTTGATACGGAATGGTTTGGTAAAATATTGGAAACGTCAAATGTTGACGTTTTCTAAATTTCAATACCTCTATTATAAAATTTATCTTTTATGCATTTTTAATGATCCTATTCTCTGCTTTTACGTTTGCTTCTTCTTTTCAATGGAGTTTAATATTGAAAAGTACTTTCTTAATAAACTGTTAAATTCGTTAGACAGCTCAAGTGAAGATTTGCAGGTCCAATATTAAAACAGATCAATAATAAATAAACAACTCTAATCAGTATTTATATATATTTTTTTTGTTTTTACTTACTTAAGAGTAAAAACAAAATATATATAGTATGCAGGTCAAAGAAACGAATAATTAATAATTAATTAATACCTTACAAAACATTCACGATTACTTGTTGTCTTGTTTTTCATGTTTTCTTTAAATGTTCCTGACTTTAAGAAACAATGGCTGCATGATAAATTTAAATGATCCTAAAAAGTCATTCTATTTAGTTAATAAAATTTATTTACCTTTACTGCCTACCTTCATTGCTTTTGGATGTAAATACAAAATATTATTACAAATTTTAGAAATTAAATGAGAAATTTCACCCGAACTTCCAACATTTGCTTGATTTCTGTCACATAAATGACATTGATTGACAAATAAAACCAGAAAAAACAGCCTTCTCGCGCTTGTTAGTTTGGTGACAGTTATAACAGAATTTTTCAGGAACCGTGTTCCGTAATAAGAAAACTCTCAGGAAACCGATAGAAAGGGAACATAAAACCATAACCAAGGTAAGCAACGGAATACACGTCAATTTTGGAATACTTTTGAATTAAAGATGAGCATATTTTTTGGACATCTCTACTCACTTGTGTTATTTTTTCTACATTTTTGATTTCATAATGCTTCTAAGATTCTAACTGTCTTTTTTATATTGATATTATAATATATATATTATTATTGATAAATAGATAATATTATTAATAGATAATATTATTGATAAAATAATTGAAAAAAGGAGGCAGCCATGGTTTACTGATACTATTAAACAAATGGTCAAATTAAAAAATAAAGCCTATAACGCCTTCAAAAACGATCGGTCTGAGTCTAAATGGAATTATTACAAGGAACTGAGGAATTTTACGAATAGAGCTATACATTATGAAAAAAAAAACAATATTTTGAAGTTTCACTTGAAAAAATTAAGTTCAATCAGAGATTATCGTGGAGAAAATTTAGAGAATTGAACATTTGTGCCACTAGTTCTAATAATACCATCCCTGATTTACTAAACGTTCCTGATGATATCAATAAAGCTTTTTCAGCATTCTCTACTAATACCAATTCAGTGGACAGAAACGTTATAAACTCTTATTTAAACAAGACGCATCCGAATTTATTGCATTTGTTTGAGTTTTGTTCAGTAACAGAAAGTACAGTTAAGGACAGCATTATTAATATAAAATCATCAGCAGTCGGTGTGGATGAAATTTCACTGGATATGCTGCTCTTATGTCTAAACAGAATATTACCTTTCATAACAAATATAATCAATTCATGCTTATTGGAATCTCAATTTCCAGATTGCTGGAAAATAGCAAAAGTGATTCCTCTCGCTAAGATAACAAACCCAACATCGTTTAAACATGAGGCCAATAAGCATTTTATCAATCTTATCAAAAATTTTGGAGAGGATTATGTGTTTACAACTAACAGATCGTCTGAACCAAAACAATCTTTTTCTAGCTAGTCAATCGGGATTTCGCAAGGGTTACAGCTGTACAACAGCTTTGCTCAATGTCACAAATGAGATTTTTAGAGCTATAGATAAGGGTGAAACAGCAGTAATGGTACTTTTAGATTATACTAAGGCTTTTATTCAAAATTAACCATGAAATTTTAGTTTCGATATTGCATTACTTAGGATTTTCGGAGGGTGCAACTTTGTTATTAAGCAATTACTTAGCGGATAGAAGACAGTATGTGGAAACAAATAAAGGAAAATCTGAGATTCTATATATTGATAGTGGCGTGCCGCAAGGTTCTATATTGGGGCCTCTTCTATATAGCATGTATACTTGCAACATATCTCAGTATATTGAATATAGCATGAGCCAATTATATGCCGATGACACGCAATTAGTAATGTCATTTAATCCTGATAAATCGGCCGATGCTTCAAAATTTCTAAATACTGATTTGGAAAGTCTAAGTAAGTTTTCGGAAGCGCATCTCTTTTAAATATCAATCCAAGTAAATCGTGTTTTATGGTGTTTGGAAAACATAATAAAACAATTTCTGTTGATTTTGAATTAAAAATAAAAGATAGTACTCTTCAATGTGTTGATGTAGCTCGAAATTTGGGTCTTACTTTTGATAGCAATTTACGCTTTAAACCTCACGTTACTAAATGCCTCAAAAGAGCGTATACTAATTTAAAACTATTGTTTCCTCATCGTCATATTCTGTCAGAGAAACTCAAGATTGCACTCTCCGATTCACTTGTTCTTTCACATTTTAATTTTGCTGATGCGGTTTATGGGCCATGTTTAGACCAGTTTGATATAAGACGTATACAAAAAGCACAAAACTCGTGTCTCCGTTTCATATACGGAATTAGAAAATACTCGCGAATATCTCATAAACTGTAAAGTGCATCATGGATGTCATGTTAGAGAGACGCAAGCTTCACTCAGTTATATTGTTTCACAAAATTATATTTAATAACTGCCCTCCCTATTTAGTGCAGAAAATATCATATAGGACCGACATTCATAATCTCAACCTTCGATTTGGAGGTCGCATCTCGCCTCCTGCTCATAGAACACAAATATTTCAGAGGTCGTTTACTTATAACATATACAAACTCTATAATTTGGTACCTGCCTATTTAAGAAATCTTTCACCTGAATCGTTCAAATTTTCCTACAAGTCATTATTAAGTAAGGCTTTATAGTTTGTTCCGGCTGGAGTGCCTGCCCAAACCTTATTTCATTGATACCTTTTGTTTCTTTGCTGTTCCTCTTCTCCCGTCTTTGATCATATATATGCTTATGTTTTTTTTGTAGTTTATATTAGGGTAAACTAAGTTTAGAATTGTAATTATGAATTTAAGAACACAGTACAATAAGTGAACGGATATAATATATTTTTTATGGATCTGGACTAGAATATTTTTGAAATGATTCCAGTATCCATTTGGGTACTAAAAACTATGATTTTGTATTGTATGAATTGTAGAGGTGTGTTGTTAGTATTCAATAAACTATATATTATTATTATTAATAATAATTTTTTGTACACATAAGATTCAAACATGAGTCTAAGTTTTTTTATCAACTAGTTGACAATCTCAATTATTTTTAGATTCAATTATATGTTTATTTAATCATATTTACATAAAAAATCTTTAGGTTTCTTCAGGGTACGATGCTCTCATATTATATTTACGTTTTTGGTTAAGATTGATATTGCAAGAAAATATTTTCGTGCGGTTTACGCATTTTTTTCGGCAATATCCTTATCGTCCGCTGCGGTATAAAATGCATAATGTGAGAACAAAAATATAATTCGCTTGATATAAAAGTCTTGGATCCAGCCGAAGGTGCTTCAGTTGATGTTGTTCAAGCAAGGGGAAGTTTTCAAACAAGAAGATGTCTTTCCACGAAAACTATGATGATCGAACACCTGCAGCCAATCAGCTGTTGCTGTACTCGAACAAACATGAAGTAAGTACATTGCTATATTTTTTTTCGATTACTTTAATAAATTTTAAAACTGAATTAAATAGAAAATTTTCCTACGATGAAAATTATTTTTCAAATAATGTTTTAAAATAGTTAGTGTGTAAATGAAAAGAGCTTTAGAGTATATTACGCTGTACTGTTCGGGTCCCTCTCAGGAGTCGGGTAAAGCGGGTGTATGGCCAAAGGAAATATACAGGCTGGTCCGAACTGTAATCCGGAAACTTCGGCAGCATATTCTGCAAATAAAATTAAGTAAAAAAGTTCGTGTAAATAGATGTTCTAAAATGTTTACTTTCAGAGATAGAGGGTGTAGAAGTTTCATTTTTATTTCGATTATTTCCAAATAATTTCTGAAGTATCTAACGTCAATATTTGGATGAAAATTGGTGTTTGGTAGTTTTTTGACATGAGCAATTTGATTTTGGTGTCAATATGACTCCTACTAGTAGAGGGCGCCACCTACATGTGTTTTAACTGTTTTGAAGCGTAATAACTTTTTGTCCGTACCCGTATAAAACTACCGAGCGAAAAAATATACATCTCTGTGACTTTTTACGTAAAAAATATCTCTTTATAAAAATCGCTACGAGCAACCGTTCTTAAGATATTTAGAATGGAAATAGACAATACATGACATTATTGACGAAAAATAAACACGTTGAGTAGGTAGTTACTTCACTGAAATAATAAATTTGGAAAATCTTTATTTTTTTTAATTAATCATAAATTTTTCTACAAAAAATGATGATAAAACAGTTTCTGTTGAACTTTTGGCACAGAAATATTTCAAATTTATGATTTCAGTCTAATAACTATTTAGTCAACATGTTTAATTTATGTCAATGATGACAGGTATTGATAATTTCGATTCCAAATATCTCGAGAACCATTACTCGTAGCGATTTTTACCAAGAGACCTTTTTCACGCAAAAAAACGTCGTAAATAGACAGTTAAAGCAAGGTACAATACGTATACGTATCTCTCGACACGTATCGCAGAAACCTACGTTACGTCTGCCGTTGCGTTGTCGTGTAAACAAGAGTTAAAGCAAGTATTTTGACGTTCGTAACGCAAATGGTACTTTTCGTAACGCAATTTGTAATTCCAAATTATTTTGTGAAACAATTTATTTAATTTTAAAATTGAAAATGGATACCGTAAAATGGGGTGAATAGAAACAGTTTCGTAGGCTATTAGCGATATACCGGTTGATAAAAATGTGGTATTATTTTCCCGAATATTTTAAAACATGGGTCTTTGTTTGTTCTTTGCGTATACATATAATTTGATTTTTGAAAAATATGCATATAAATATTAAATAAAAATAACATTTGTGTTTCTATTCACCTGCTATTGGGGAGAATAGAAACACACATTGATGTTAATGTTTTTATCTATTCTACTTCCAACAAGGTGATTAGAAACAGTAAATTATTACATATTTAAGTAGGTTTAACAATAAATAACAATACATATAATATGACAACTTACATGTACCAGCTTATGTATTACTTTAAAAATAAATATTTTATTTATAAAGTTTTCGCGCCATACAAAATAGGTGATAAATCGATCTCACATTTATTGATGAGCTGATTGACAGAAACAGTGCTGCCACAGATAAAAATATAGTTTTTACATTTTATTGTGTATTACCAATGATAGAAAAATTAGATATGTCGACTCTTTTTACTTTGAATATTTTTAATCGTGATTTGATTTTTTTCAGAAATTTTGTTTCTATTCACCACTATGTTTCTATTCACCCGGTATCTATTATTCCATTGATTCCACATTAAATATATAAAAGTAATATCGAAAAATGAAGAAAATTATAAATGGAAATTATTTTATTACCGAAAGTAGTCCTTACAACTTAAAATGCTCTTAGTAATAAAAATATTGGAAAACAGACACAGTTTTATGATTATTTATTAGATTCCATCTTTTAGAATCCTCATATGGACTTTGGCTAAGAACTAGCATTTAATTAGATAGATTCCAAAATGAGTTTATTATGATGCTTAATATTTTCATACTAATTTATTGTAATAAAATAGGCCCAGTTCTCTTAATCTAGCCCCCAAATTTATGAAATAACTTAATTACTAGCCAGTTGTGGAAACGAGTTGTTTGTGAATTTGTACCTTCGGCATCATTCGGGTGAAAATCGAAACTCCTTCGGCTCGATACGTTTGCGTTTTGTACGTACGTAAAGGCACGTAAAGATACGTATCACGTATCCGTAAACGCAAGTGAATTTCTCACTGCGCAAGCGTACATGTCAAACGACACTTTTACGTCTACGTCTTTGGCTGTGCTTTAACTGTCTAATATTTATTTTTTTACTCAGTAGTTTTATAAAGGTATAGACGAAAAGTTATTACTCTTCAAACCAGTTAAAAATATGTAGGAGCTCCCTCTACTGGTAGGAGTCATATTGACATGAAAATCAAATTTCTCATGTCAAAAAACTCCCAGACACCAATTTTCATCCAAATATTGACGTTACTTCATAAATTATTTGGAAAAAATCGAAATAAAAATGAAACTTCTACACCCTGTATCTCCGAAACTAAGCATTTTAGGACATACATTTATACGAACTTTTTTACTTATTTTAATCTGAGGAATATGCTGCCGAAGTTTCCGGAATACAGTTCGGACCACCCTGTATATTATATTTCAGAAATCTCCCTAGGTGTAACCCGATCCTGTCGTGTTAAGCCACACCAAAAATTCCAAACACTCGTGCTTGGAAGGCTTAATTAAGGTTTGCAGAGGTTCAACATTTACCATAAAATAGCGAGCAATTTGTTACAAAATCATATAAATTATATATCACTGTAATCACAAAACTTCAATCTATTTCCGTATTGCAACGAGATTTTAAATTGTCTTTATTTTCGAGAAAATTTAGTCCAAACATAAGGAATATTTTGATGATGTTTGACCATCAAAATCTTAAAAATAAAGAAGTTGTCTAAAAATGTGCTACAATACGGATATAGCATAATCCTTTATCTTTAATTTCCTTCTTCATTTGTGTAAAAATCCCTAGCCAGTTTTACGTAAAACGTTAAATGCCGAACGCATTATTTTGCTACTTTTTCGGACTAGTGAAATGGACTCTTAACTTTATGCTTTTTTGAATGACATTTCTTAATTAAATAATCAATTTTCAGGATAATACAGATGTCATTACCACCAGTGGTGGTGATCCTGTAGGTATGAAAACAGCTAGCGAGACTGTAGGGTACCACGGACCCACCCTGATGCAAGATTGGATCTTATTGGATGAATTGGCTCATTTCAGCAGAGAGAGGATACCAGAGAGAGTGGTACATGCCAAAGGAGCAGGGGCGTTCGGATATTTCGAGGTTACCCACGATATAACCCGATACACCGCCGCCACTGTGTTTTCCAATATCGGAAAAAAGACGCCCATTGCTGTCAGGTAAGTTATTTTGTTTTAAACATAATCCTAGGGCATTCAGAGACTCCTTTAATGTTTTTTTTTAAATATAACAACTACACTCACCGGTACGAAAAACGGGCACCTTAAAATTTTCATAATAAATTTTTAAGCAATTTGTACCTAAATTATTTGACTTTTTAATATATCTTTCTAAATTAAAAATGAAAGTTGTCATCTCTCAATTATACGAGAAAAAACAAAACGTTGATATTTTGGTGACAGTTTGAAACACCCTGTGGAGTACGATAACAAAGCAAGGAATTTAAAAATAATTTTGTCATCTAGGTTTTTATTTTCTCGATAGTTTGTTTTTTGATTCATCTTAATAGCTTTATTTTTTTTGGAGAGTTCGCTTTTGAAGAAGACACTAACATTTTTTTGAATTTTTTACATTAAAGCCATTCCTTTGCTTTTGGTCCTAGTCAACAAACCTATACAATAGTGTATAGTGTTTATAATTTATGTAAGTTGGGCAGTTATTCTAACAGATATGGGTTTTAAGTCCTAAAGTTTATATCTACCATGATCAATTAAAGCAGCAATAGCAGAACTTAAAACCATCTCTACTAAAGTAAACGCCAATAAAAAATAATATGACTTTTCACTTTTCAATGACTGTGATATTACAAAAAAGATATACACTACATATTTTATAAGTGTGTTGATGAGGACCCAAAATCAATACTAAAATTGCTGTAATAATTACTGACTTATTCAAAAGCGAATATCTCCAATAAAAATAAAGCTATTGAGATGAATCAAAAACAAACTATCGGGAAAAGACGTACGTAGACGATAAAATTATTTTTAAATTCTTTGCTTTGTTAAAATATTCCACAGAGTGTTTCAAACTTTCACTAAAATATCAACATTTTGTTTTCCTCCGTATAATTGACAGATGGAAACTTTCAATTTTAATTTAGAAAGAGACAAGTGTGAAGCTAGTCTTTTTCTTCCTAGTTTCAACGTCTCATTATCCCAACATATATCTATAATAACTGTAATACACAGATACAAACTGATTTCAACAGAAATAATAAAGTATCGAAATAAACTTGTTATTATTTGTTTAACAAAATATAGAGGGTGAACCAGTGTATAATACGGTAGAAAAAAACGGCGTCAGAGTTGGCTTGGAAATGAAGATCGGTGAAGATCGCAGTCACCAATATTAACTAGTCGCTGTTATATGTAAATGTAAAATTATATGGGGAATACCAATCGATCGTCAGTTTCAAACCATCTTAACGCCGTTTTTTATTACATAGTACTTCATATCAAGTTTTTTTGGTTTCTTATTTAATGTTTTCAGTTCAGCGTTTTTTTATAACTGTAACAATATACAAGATGATTCAAATATATTTTTACGCTAAATGTTTTTAAGTATTATATTAATTATGTCTCTTAAAGTAATTTAATTTTTTTTTGCTTGATTATTTTATGTGTCTTCAGATTTTCTCAAGTAGCCGGTGAGAGGGGATATCCGGATACCTACAGGGATATCCGTGGATTCGCCATCAAGTTCTATGCTGAAGACGGTATTTGGGATCTGGTAGGGAACAACAGTCCCATATTTTTCGTTAACGATGCTATCAACTTTCCCAGCTTCATACATGCCCTCAAAAGGTAATAGGCCATTTTTTATTATTTTTTCCGTGTAACTGTTAATTTATTTGTATTTTTAAATTATAAAGCCTCGTTTGCATGAACATCCATTTTCCATTTTTTACGAAAAAAATCGCGCATTTCGCTAACCATGTTAACATCATCAAAAGATGATTAGAACCATAGATAAAAGAAAATAATCTTCTATTATTAGAACTAAATACGCCTAATTTAGTTCTAATTAAATATATATTTTCCATAGCAGCTGTCTATCAAAAATAGTGGATAAAATAGTACTTTAACCACAAGGGTAGATTAAATGATACTCTAACAGCGAGGACAGGTTAAAAACTTTATGTCTTCACGCACGTTTTTTAATTGCTTCCATTTTTGAAAATTTTTGTATTCCTTTTCATTCAAGTTATTCGGGATTTAAATGAAAGTAGTTTGGATATGGCATTTGTCGCCTCAGCCTGAATATCTGTTGGTAATTTACTTATTTTGTTTTGAGCCATTTCTGGCTCCAATTCAATCAGCAATCGACACGAACAAGAATTAAAAAATATTGACTGAAAACTGACAACTAAAGAGACAGCTCATAGATGAAAGACTTATACTATTAAATAGATAGGCAACTTATAATACATTTCAATCTTATTATACAAGGGCGCCTCTGGTAGTCGGAGGAAGAAATACTAATGGAAGAGAGGGGTGCGGGGAAGGGGGGTTGTTTTAGTTAATTTAAAATAAATTTAGACATACATGTAAGAACACTTTGTGTGCTTTTAATTAGGTCGAACATATTATAAACGATAAATCAACTTAATTAAAAGCATACAAAGTGTTCTTATGTCGGATATTAATTAAAAAAATATATTAAAAAGACTAGAAATAGTATATATTAAGTTGTTACAGTTATAATTTAATCTTTGGCGGTTTTCAGCAAATAGCAGGCAGTTTTACATAATTTTCCTCCCTTTGAAGTGAATTGGAAACGGCTATATAATTTTGGTGTAGGCAAGATTCCCAGTTTGTTTCCGTTTGAGACCTGAAATAATAAAAACAAATTAAATTAGATGTAATCATCTGCTGATCATGCTAATATAACTCAACGCGCGTCCTTAATTCACCGTAAAAAAATTAAATAACTGCTCAGCAAGTAGCATTTATTAGCAGTACTAATTTAAAAAATCTATAACTGTAAGTAGATATGTTTAATTTACTTACCATTATATCCTTCGGAAACCAGGTGTACAACAATTAAACTCCATGATAAAAAATAATTAAGAGTCTATACAAAACACAAATTGTCCCACCATTTTTAAAAAACATTGTCTAAAACAGACTACTGGCAAAAACTCTGAAGGAATTTAATTTTACAATAATTCGACAAATCAAAACGAAATCAAACCGTAAAATCACAACAGAAGCGTCTCTGAGTGACAGTTAAAAATCAAATTTTATTATTGTCAGATATTGACATTTGCATTGATAATATTGACAGTTTTAATATTTTGCGCCTCTGCATCTTGGAGGAAAAACTATTTTTAATGAACCGTCATTTCCATTTAAGTTTCTCAGCCATGAGACAGCTTTATTTATTTGTCAAATTACATAGAAACCAACGCCAACCCAGCACAATATTTTTTCTACTCGTAATAAATTCCTTGAAATAATAATTTAAGAATATTTTTAAAATGTAACTCGCTATGGTAAAAAATATTGTTTTATACACGACGATAAAATTGAATTTATCGTACCATTTTATTGTCTTGTATAAAAAAATAACTATTTTTCTATAGGAATCCGGTGACAAACATTCGCCCTGACTATGATGCTTTCTTTGACTTTGTCTCGCTGAGAGCGGAATCTACGCATATGGTTCTGATGATGTTTACTGACCGAGGCATTCCCGCTAGCTACAGGCAAATGCACGGTTATGGCGCCAATACATTCTCGTTTATCAACGCCAAAGGAGAGTTTTTCTATTGCAAGTTTCATTATTTAAGCGACCAAGGTACTCTTTTCTATATAGAGTGTCCCAGAAATAAGTGCATGTGTAAGGAATGGTAGATCTGGTCAAAAGAAACATTTTTTTCTCTTTGCCGTTTTTCAAATAAGTCCAAAACAACCCAGTTATTTTATTTTGAAAAGGCCATGGGATGATAAGAATACCGAATCGGCTCCAGAAAGGAATCGGACTCATAATTTCAGGAAATATTTGTACCCATAAAATACTTCGATACAGCAAGTGTCAGATTTTTATCTATAACCCTGTCTGAATAAATCGAAAAATACTAAAAATCAGTAAAAAGTTATTCTCAGCGTCTTGTGAATCGAATGATCTAGCCACCGGATATGTTTTGGAGCGTGATGGTAGCTTTTTGGGAAAAAAATAAGAGCTATATCTTAATTTCAATTTTTAACCGTGTTACGATAACCGTAAAAATATGAAACTATTTTTTTTAATTCCCCATTCAATTTTTGAAGAAATTATGAACTTGGGAATTTTTTTTAAACGGTACCGCGCACATCTAAAAAAATTAAAAATCGATTTTTTGCTCAAAAATTGATTTTTTCAGGATCATCAACTCGTGAAATGATAAAATACAAAACTTTTGCGATTATTGTACTAGTAAAAACAACTAAATAAATTCGGGACGCTGATATTAATTATGGCTTTTTTTATATCGCAATTTGTAAACAGCGCTTATTTGTAAATAACCACCGTTTTTAGAGAGGTATTTTAGATAACAATCGATATTTAGAAATGTTTTGACACCCTGGAAATACTACCACCGAACACGTCATTGTTGCAACTTGCAACTGCGTTAATACGCCTGGCGATGACCGTCTCATACTCTTTCAGATATTTAGCAGTAAAATAAAGAAACCTGTTATTTTTAAGCTGTTATTTTAAGCTGTTTTTTATAAATAACTATAACAGTTTCAACTGTTATCTAAAAATAACAGTTTTGCCCATCACTACAACAAATGTCATTTGTTGTTGGTTATAATAGAATAGAATGGCAAAATAAAACACTAGGTCACCACAATATACCAAAACACACAAATCATCAGCAGCTGATTAGAACTAAACTAATATCTACAAATGGAGCGTTTATATAGGCGCTCAGTTGGCGCCGACCAAGCGTGGCAGAACTAGCCAAGAGAATCAAAAGCAACCGATTTAATAATTAATTACCGAAACTGGAGCAATAGGAACAGGAAACTGGAGGAATTAGACTTTCATATGCATCAAATTGCCTGTAATTTGCGTCTTGTTTAATTATTAATATCTTATACAATGATCTTTATCGTCTGAATGTTAATATGCTGAGCATCGCAAGATTTATCCGGTCTACCATATGTTATCTGAGTCATATGTTCTTTAACTCTACTTAATATACAGGGTGGTCCGAATTGTATTCCGGAAACTTCAGCAGCATATTCTGCAGATAAAAATAAATAAAAAAGTTCGTATGAATGTAGGTCCTAAAATGCTTAGTTTCAGAGATACAGGGTGTAGAAGTTTCATTTTTATTTCGATTTTTTCTAAATAATTTCTGAAGTAACGTTAATATTTGGATGAAAATTGGTGTCTGGGAGTTTTTTGGCATGAGAAATGTGATTTTGATGTCAACATCACTCCTACTAGTAGAGGGCGCCACCTACATGTGTTTTAACTCTTTTGAAGCGTAATAACTTTTTGTCCGTACCTGTATAAAACCACCGAGCTAAAAAAATACACATCTCTGTGACTTTTTACGTAAAAAATATCTCTTCGTAAAAATCGCTACGAGCAACCGTTCTTAAGATATTTAGAGTGGAAATAGTCAATACATGTCATTATATTGACGAAAAATAAACGCGTTGGGTAGATAGTTATTTCACTGAAATAATAAATTTGAATTTTTTTTAATTAATCATAAATTTTTCTGCAAAAAATGATGATAAAACAGTTTCTGTTGAACTTTTGGCACAAAAATATTTCAAATTTATGATTTCAGTTTAATAACTATTTAGTGAACCTGTTTAATTAATGTCAATGATGACAGGTATTAATAATTTCGATTCCAAATATCTCGAAAACCATTATTCGTAGCGATTTTTACCAAAAGACCTTTTTTACGTAAAAAACGTCGCAAATGTATATTTTTTTACCCATTAGTTTTATACAGGTACGGAAGAAAAGTTATAACTCTTCAAACCGGTTAAGAAATATGTACGTGGCGCCCTCTACTAGTAGGATCCATATTGACATGAAAATCAAATTTCTCATGTCAAAAATCTCCCAGACACCAATTTTCATTCAAATATTGTCTTTACTTCAGAAATTATTTGGAAAAAGTCGAAATGAAAATGAAACTTCTACACCCTGTATCTCCGAAACTAAGCATTTTAGGACATACATTTGTACGAACTTTTTTACTTATTTTTATCTGCAGAATATGCTTCCGAAGTTTCCGGAATACAGTTCCGACCACCCTGTATAATAGTAATTATTTTAATATTGTAAATCGATTTTTGGGCAAAAAATCGATTTTTATTTTTTTTTTTCGATGTGTAGTACCGTTTAAAAAAAATTCCCAAGCCGATAATTTGATCGAAAATTGAATGAGGAATTCAAAAAAATAGTTTCATATTTTTACGGTTATCGTAACACGGTTAAAAAATTAAAATGAAGAATAAAACCTCGTTTTTTTAGGTTCTTGGGGACGGATATAGCTTTTATTTTTTTTTCTAAAAAGCTACCATCGAGCCCCAAAACATATCCGGTCCCTAGATCATTCGATTCACAAGACGCTGAGAATTACAATTTTTTACTGATTTTCAGTATTTTTCGATTTATTCAGACAGGGTTATAGATAAAAATCTGACACTTGCTGTATCGAAGTATTTTATGGGTACAAATATTTCCTGAAATTATGAGCCCGATTTCTTTCTGGGGCCGATTCGGTATTCTTATCATCCCATGGCCTTTAAAAGAATGCTTTTTTTTCTTAAATTTTGAGAACCATTGGATCTTTTCTAGACTTTCTTTTATGTAAATTTAATCTACTACCTATGTTGCCATATTATCAAGAAATTATGTTTTTAACTTAACTTTAGAACTAAAAAAAATTACATAATTTTTTTCAAAAAATTCCAAATTTTCATAATTTTTTTTTTGCAAAAAAATACCACATAGGCGTGTTTCTGCGAGGTCGAAATATACTACCAGTTAAAACACTTGCGCTTATTTCTGGGATACCCTGTATAATTTTTATAGAAACAAGAACAATTTTTAAACTTATTATATTTTGAAAAAATTAGGTGTGGCAAGCTTGACCCAAGCCGATGCCGACAGGATTGCCGGAGTGGTACCAGATTACCACGTGGAGGACCTGTACAACGCCATAGAGAGTGGAAAGTACCCTTCGTGGACGTTCTACGTGCAAATAATGACTCCCCAGCAGGCTGCGGCTAACAAGTACGACCCTTTTGACGACACCAAAGTGTGGCTGCACGGAGACTATCCTCTGATTCCCGTTGGAAGATTTGTTTTGAATAAAAACCCTAGTAACTATTTTGCTGACGTGGAGCAGATGGCTTACAATGTTGCAAATATCATTCCAGGTAAAATATATGTGTTAATAATTATTTTTTATATCTTACAGATACAAAAACATTCAATTCATCACTTCATTGACTAAAAGACTCACTTAAATGAAACTATACAGGGTCCGGCAATAGTACATCGGGTATTCTAGACTAAAAAACTTGCATCTTATAAAGCATGCAACATTTATATAAATAAACCTTTTTTTATATGTATATAAAAATAAAATATGTATAACAAAACACATAAATTTGAATAAAAAATAAAAATTTAGTTACGACACAAAATACAGAGTGTTCCATTTAAAATAAGTAAAAAACAACGTTTTAGAAACTCATTTATTGATAACATTTTCCGGTAATAATAATCAATTTATTTCTATGTATGTATTTATATTCTATCTAAAATAGTTTAGTGACGTTTATATTATTTAGGCTGGTCTGTAAAACATATATCATGTCAAAAATCGATAAAATCAAATAAAATGGATTTTAAATTTAGTTTAAATTGACAGCTACGAAATTCTCCTATTAAATTTAACACTTTGGCATAATTTACTAGACATATTTACCAGCGTTTCAGCAAGCATTAAATTTATGGATTTTAGTGAACTATTTTTATAGCACTTTATGTAGACATTTCTGCATGCTTCACTGCACACTTCATGCTCACAGAATACCTACTTAAACAATCAGAGAACAAAATGTTTGTGTATTTTTTATACACCCAGATGCAAAAAACACAACGAAAAAAATTTTGGTCAAGTCTGATATGTTATATTTTTAAAAATATAAAAAATATAACAATGCCCTTAAATATAAATTTCCTTGATTCTTTTAGCAAACTATATACAGGGTGAGTCTTAAATAAGTGCAAATATTTTCAGGGCTGGTAGATCTCGATAAAAGAAACATATTTTCTCTTTACCATTTTTCAGATAAGTCCAAAATAACCGAGTTATTTAAGTTTGAAAATTAAAAAAAAATGGTTTTTTTTTTGAAAAAATTTTGAGAGCCACCGGATTTTTTCTGTATTTGCATCCCTTTTAGTGCCGTAACCATGGAGTAGCCGTAACTATGGTAATTTCAGAGATTAAGAAATTATACCGTGGGAAAATTTGCGGTGAACAGGTAGTTCAAAAAAGTTTTCGAAAAATATACAGTGAATTTTAAAAGAAAATGCACGATTGTCAACATATTTTTTTGCGAAAAAACCTCATAGACGTGTTCCTGGAGTCGAAATATACCACCCCTGAAAATATTTGCACTGTATAAACATATCAACTTTAATTCGAAAAATCTGTTTATTATAAACTTTAGTACTTTACTTATTATACAGGGTTAATCGAAGGATTGTTTTTTACTCAATATTTAAAACACCCTGTACAATAATTTTGTGAGCAAATATTCCTAAAACATTATTTTTCGTCAGAACCATGTCTTTGGTTAATTTTTAAGAGCAAAATGAACTTTCCACAAACATTTTGCAATGTTTTCAAGTTATCTTTACTTTTAATGTTATTCTTCATAATGGCGAGCAGGGGCGGATACAGGAATTTATTTTAGGGGGAGGGGGACCGAAATAAAAAGTAATGTTGAATATGCTTTTTAGGTCGCCATTTTTAACCCAAAAACGCAATATTTAACCCAATTCATAGATTTAAGGGGGGCAGGCCCCATGGGGCCCCCCTCTGTATCCACCGCTGCTGACGAGGTGGCTTTGGTGATTATTGTTTTGTACGATTGAATATGGTTCTTAATGTCGAAGATTGTGCAGATCGAAGATGTGTTTCTTGCTCCTCGGCAGAAAGACCGTAATGGCCGCCCCTTTAGGGATGTTTTCTCCCTTCACTGCAACCAGTTCCGGCTCTTGCCAATTTTTACGCTTAGGTGCGATTTCCACCAACCAATTCAACGATTCTTGTATTTGTATTTGACTAAGAGTGGGTCCCATAGGGGACCCTCCACTGAGGCCGCGAGGGCCTATTGTGGCTCAGTTTCTACAAGCTCTAATTTACAAGAACGTCAAAGTTCATCCTCAAGACCCAGCCTCTTAATATAGGCCGTTATGTCTGAGGGCGATATGTCTCCTAGGTCTGATAGGTCTAGCATGGGTTTGCCAAACATCTCAAACCTGGTCCTGCTCCCAGCGGGGCAGGTACACATAACGTGCTTCATTGTTTCATCATCTTCCATACAGAGTCGGCATTCGGCGTCTTCCACCAGTCCCGTCCTCTGTAGGTGAGATCTCAGCCAGCAGTGGCCCGTGTACACTGCAGTGAGCACACGCGTTCCATTCCTACCGGCCTTTAGGAGTTCTCCTGTTCTATGTTTGGATGGCCCTGCTAGGATTTTCTTGGCATGCTCCATTCCGGGACTGTCATTCCAGTCTCGGAATGTCTCACCCCTAACCCATTCACACAGCCTGTCTCTTGCAAGATTTTTAGGAACGCTAAGTGTCGGTTCTGGGCCCACGAATGGCGAGCCTGCACCAATTTTGGCGAGGGAATCAGCACGTTCATTTCCCTCTAGGCCGACATGTCCCGGTATCCATATTAGCGACACTTTGTTCCTATCTCCCAGTATATTGAGTAGTTTCTTACAATGAAGAATCGTCATAGACGTGCTTTTCGTTGCCTCAAGTGCTTTCAGCGCAGCTTGACTATCCGAAAATATGCATATTGTTTTCCCGGTGTATTGCTGTTCTACCAGCAGTTGCACACAGGTTTCAATAGCATATAGCTCAGCTTGGAAGATCGTGGTGTGTTTTCCAAGACTGTGGTAGATCTCAGTCTTTGGACTGCTGCAGTAAATTCCTGCGCCAGATCCTTTTTCGTTTTTGGATCCGTCCGTGTACCAACACCGATTCTTGAGATACACAATCTATGAGGATCATGCCCACCCGACAGTGTATCCCCGCAAAACGCAGCTGACCCACATTTTGTAGATCGTTGTGTTGCGATCCGATCGCCACTACTTCGTCCAGTATAGCCTCTTACGACCAACCAGCAAACGTCTCTAGAGACGTTTGCTGGTTGGTCGTCCTCTGGGTCGAGCAACCTCTGGGAAATCCTTTGGCAGCACCGCCATTTTCACTTGTCCAGCAATAGCGGCAAAGCTGGTGATAATGTCCTTGCTTGTCTCCCGGTGTTGGACAGCTTTCCATCCTGGCTTTTTTCTCTCCCTGCCGGAGAAGAGGTGAGAGGTTCTCGCTCCCTCTCTTGCTCTTTGGAGATGAGTCAGGTTGTTTCTTGGTTTCTTTACTCTCCCCTTTTCGGAGGAGTGTTTTCGCTTTTGCTTCCTCTGGAGCAAGTCCTTCGTGGAGCAGTCGGAGGTATCACCGTGCTTCTGCTCCGCTAAGACCTACTCTCAGAGGATCGTCTAGCCCGCCTGGTTGACCCAGGCCGGGTAGACGAAACGGTAGCTTGTGTCGCTTATTGGGTCTAGAGGTAGGCTCCCGACCCTTGCTGGAGAAGGTGGTAGCTTGTGTGCCACTTGTGGAGGATGATCCCAAGCAAGTGTCAGCCCTGGAACTTTCATTTTTAGTTCTAATATTTATTAAAACCAAGCCTGTATGGTTACTTTTTAACATTTTTTAAATTTTAATATAGAAAGCCACCTCGTGATATCAAAAAATAACATCAAAAAATAACGATAATTTAATTTTTCTGTAACTCTAGAATATCCGTATCTATCAATCTCATATATCATATTTAGTGTGACCCTGCATCTATGTATCATAAAACTAAAAATATCTTCTTGAGCAGCGCGATGCAATTTTTTATTAATTGGATCTCATTATTCTCGAAAGCATCCAATAGAAAAAAGAATCTAGGCGTTTATTTATAGATCTCAGTGTAAAAATAGAGAAACACGCGTATTTTCGTGAGAATTTTTCGAAAATAATGTTGTCCCCGCTGTTGTCCCATAAAAATCCGTTGTAATATTCACACGGATATTTTTAGATGGGATTGAAGCATCCAGAGTTGCATCAGGCGAAGATTCACACAATTAATTTTTGTTTTTGAATAGTTATTTATTACATATGATTCAAAATCTAAACTAAATTATTCGATGTTCACGTGCAATTGTTAAGTCATTATAATTGTTATAAAAATAAAGACGAATGCAATTATTGATCAAAAAAAAATTATAACAAAGTTGTTCAATAGGTGTTTTCATAGATACTAACCGAAATAACTAACTTGGTTTTACATGGGATTTCATTACTTTTTGTATTGTGGCGAGACTTTTTGTATTTTTCATGGGATCGACATAATAATGCCAAGCCTTACATAGAAACAACTCTCGCCAATATATACAAAGAAGCCAAAGCAAGAATATAATGATATATAAAACAACCCCAGAGTTCCCAACTAGCAAAAGAATGCTGCAGGGAGATGCGATATCCCCAAAGCTGTTTACAGCAACACTAGAAGAAATCTTCCGTCAACTGGACTGGACCAACAAAGGATTAAAAATAGATGGAGAATATTTAGCCAAGATTATCTGATGACATAGTCCTAATTTCCAATAGTCCTGTAGAACTAGAAACAAATTAACTAACTAGCAATAAAGTAGGTCTCAAAATGCATTTAGCAAAAAATACAGTAATATTCAACGAACTAATCGACAGAAAAGATATTCTAATATATAACACAACACTGGAAATAGTAGAAGAATATGTAAATTTCGGACAACTAATATACACAACTCGGGATCTCTAATACCAGAAATCTACAGAAGAATTAAGTTAACATGAACTCTTAAAACGGACGTTATAAGGAAACTGCAGGTCACACAACGCTCAATGGAACGAAATATGCTGGGAATAACCAACAAAGACCATAAAAGAATAGAGTGAATACAACAAAAGACCTAGGTAATAAAAAATTTCAAAGGTTATCATCCAAAGAATCAAATCCCCAAAGTGGCAATGAGTAGGACACCTGGCAAAAAGAACAGACAACAAATGGACAACAAAAATTACAGCTTGGTACACACGAGGGATTAAAAGACCTAGAAGAAGACCAAACCTGAGATGGGACCATGATAATAGGATATTAGCAGGGATAACTTGGGCCCGCATAGCCAAGAATAGACAACAATGAGCCCAACTACCAAGAGAGTATCTCTAAGTATGTGAGTTGAAATGGTTGAATAAGCTGAAAATGATGATGATGAAAGCGATTGAATATGTTCTTTGTTTTTAATCTCGTCAATTTGTTCTTTATCTTTGATTTGCTTCTTTTTTAATTTATTTGAATTCTAATCTCATCTAGGTCGCCTAAATTTGCCATCTAGGTCGCCTAAATTCTTGATGGTCCCCAAGTAGCATTTTCACGACTTGCGACCACATGTTTACTAAACACAACGTTGGATTAGTTACAAAAAATAGTTAGCTCCGTACCTTGGGTATTAAAATAAATGTAAACGTTGTTGTGACGTTGTGCCGACGTTGAACTAGTACTACAACAAAGTAAAAGCTTCTGCGACGTCGAATAAACGTTGTCTTGTAACCTTTTTTGCTTAAGTGATCTTTAGGTGATTCGGACAACGTAGTTACAATGTTGGGCAATAAAGAGTTTTCCGACGTCACTTTCAGGATCTACAGCTTTACTTATGCAAACCTTACCTAGCTTACCTTATGCAAACATCGTCTGTTTTACTAATTCCAATGTTGTTTAGATTTCCTTATTCTTACGTTGGTAGGACGTCGAGCCACTACCTTTTTGCAACTGTATTGAACCTTTATTGAACCATAACCTTAAATCTTAAATTTTCACTTCATTGTTCTGTTCAGTCAGACAGTTCAGTGCTGTTTTTGTTTTTATAAAAAAAACTTAATTAAAATGGGACATAAGAAAGGTACATTTAAAACTAAATTTAAATATACATCGACATATTACCGATACTTTATCCACTCCCTCGTTTATTTAGAATATAGAGGTCGGCACAAGCTAGACTCTAGGATGACTCAATTAGGCAATCTTGCGACTATTATTACGACTTTATTAGTCCAGGCATGCGACTACTCGAACTAGTCCATCTTAATCTCCCAAACAACAAAGTGAAAGCCGCCATGTTGTTGAATAAGAAACTGTTTCGTTCCTAAAATAGCAATTCCTGCTTTTTGAATACATTAACTTAAAATATTTGACCCTAAACAACACGCGGAAACAATTTTTTCGACTGCGAATAAATTATTCTCATTTTACTAAAAAAAATTCAAGAAATTTTTTAAAACTTCTTTAATTTTAAGGCCCATTAGTATTTTTCAAAATAGAAACAATACATTTATCAATAAAGTTGTTTGCGTTTAACTTTTTTGCCTTGGGTAACGAGTTACAGAGTCGGTTAAAGTGTTTCAATAATTATGATCTTCAAACATCCTCCACACTTAAATACTTTTGTTTTGTTTTCTTTTACTGTCATCTGGCATATGTCTCTAACTAAATCATAAAAATAATATTTTTACTATAATTATCCCAATTTAGGATAAAACGCGACTTAGACGCCATATTATTATAGTTTTGTATTTCTATGAATTAGGAATTTTAAACAACGTTGCAGTTTGTACTAAATTAGGCTGCTAGCCAACGTCGGTATCCAACGTCGTTTCGACCCAAAAATTATTCTCCAAACTAGTGCTGACGAGGGTTGGCACGAGGTTGTCCCGACGTTGCGCCCCGACGTTTGGTCGCGTGACACAACGTTGTCCTGACGTCCAAATGCTGCTTGGGTCTTATTGCGTGGCTGATTTTGCAATAGTATTTAGATTCTTAAGATGAAGTTCATTATAAAACATAGTTTAATATTTTCTTGGAAAATTTGAGTTCTTGAACCTTGTTTCTAAATATTCTAAGTTTGATTTTCTTGGGATTTAGGTTCGGGAAAACGCTGATTAGGTTTTCATTTGGTTTAAAAATCATTATTTGGTTTTGAAAAACAAACGTTTCGGCTAACATTATAGCCTTCATCAGTGTCCTGTCATAATAAAAACAGTGTCGAATATTAATATCCAAAATCACACTTAAAATTAGCACAGCACACATAACATAATGTTCATTACAATTAATCAAACAAAAATTTCTGAATTGATTAAACCACCATAACATTTTAAAAAGTTATTATTCTTAACACCGAAATTTATTAACACTTGTGTGGTGTGATAATTTGTAAGTGTGGTTTTGGATATTAATATTCGACACTGCTTTTGTTGTGAGAGGACACTGATGAAGGCTAAATTGTTAGCCGAAACGTTTGTTTTTTACAACCAAATAAAGATTTTTAAACCAAATGAAAACCTAATCAGCGTTTTCCTGAACCTATATCCCAAGAAAGTCAAACTTAGGATTATAATATTTTTAGGTATCGACTTTTCCCCAGACAGAATGTTGCAGGGACGTACTTTCAATTACGCTGATACGCACAGGTACAGACTTGGCGTTAATAATACTCAGTTAGCTGTCAACGCCCCTCCTTCCGTAAGTATTGTTTCAAATATTTAAAAATTAAAAATAGAAATAAAAAAATCAATTATATTTTTTTAATTTGGTATGTTTCAAAAAATATCGTTTCAAGTAAATCATTAAAATCTAACAAGGAGCACAATATTGTCAAGAGTTTGCGTAACAAAGAATGTTTCTACCTAAAAGCTGATAAGGGAAATAAGGTTGCTAAATTAGATAAAAAAGGCTATTACGATAAGGTTAACAACTTAATCGATAATGGCCCCTACATAAATTTGAAAAAGAATAATTTGTCTAAGAAGGTAGCAGACGTTAAAAAAACTTTAAAAGAATGTAACACCCTTATTGATCTTTCTTTAAAGAGGAAATTGCAAGCAAAAAAAAGAGGAAAAATTCATAAACCGGACAAGTCTATGCCCAATTGTTTCGGCTGTAGGTTCTCCGACTTATAATTTGGCAAAATGGTTATCAAGGGAGTTCGAAAATTTACCTGATCATGAACCTTCTTTCTCAGTTAAAAATAATATTGAATTCATTAACAAAATTAAAGATATAACATTGCATGAAGGTGAAATTTTGGTCTCCTTTAATGTATCTTCGTTGTTCCCAAGTGTTCCAATTCCACATACTTTAGGCTACTTGAAGGAATTACTGAACGCAAATGGTCTCGACAACAAAACTGTGATTGAATATATTGAGCTTACATCGTTATGTATGAAACAAAATTGTTTTCAATTTAATAACAACTTTTTTGAACAGCGGGACGGTACAGCAATGGGTAATCCATTGTCTCCATTTTTGGCTATTTTATTCATGAGCAGGTTTGAAGTGGAGGCTAAGAATCAGTTTGAGTATTTTCCAAGAGTATGGTTTAGGTATGTGGATGATATTTTTGCTGTTTTTGACACACATTCAGACACCATAGATAATGTTATTTCTAAGTTAAATAATCGTTTTCCTTCCATTAAATTTACGCATGAAATTGAGAACAACGACAGATTACCATTTCTAGATGTATGAGTTATTAGAAATATTAATAATTGCCTGGAATTTAATATCTATAGGAAAAATACGACCACACGCAGATATATTCCTAATGAATCACATCATAGTGTTGAACATAAAATGGCTAGTTTAAATTTCCTAGTTCATAGATAACTTAGTTTCCCACTTTCCAAAGAAAGATATGAAATAGAAAGAGATTACATTAGGAATGTAGCTGAGTGTAATGGATATTCTCCTTCACTAGTTGATAAATTAATTAGAAAACGTAGGTATAGGTTAATGATTTCTGAAAATTCGACTTTTCAAGTGGAGAAAGACACGTCTAAATATTTTTCGATGCCGTTTGATAGAGAGTTATCCCGTGGTCTAAAAGGAATTTTGAAGAATGTAAATTATAAACTTGTGTATAGTGCTAATAATAAATTACAACAATTATTAGGTAATCCAAAGGATAAAACACCTCCACTGGAAAGGTCGGGTATTTATGAAATTTCTTGTAAAGATTGTAATCAGAAATATGTTGGGCAAACTAGAAAATCAATATTAACTAGATTTAAAGAACATTTAGCTCAGATAGATATGGTAAACCGGATAAATCTTGCGTTGCCGAACATATTGTTCATAAAGAACATTGTATAGATCTTAATAATTTAAAATTAATTAAACAAGTCTCAAATTACAGGCAATTAGATGCATATGAAAGCATCAGAATTAATAAATGTAAAGATAGTATGAACAGAGACAACGGTCCAATTCCTTCAAGTTCTTTGTTCCTACCACTCTAGTGGCGGAAATCTAACTGTTACGCTCAGTGGGCTCTGACTCGGTTGGCTAGATTTTGCCACGCTCACTCGGTGTCCACTGAGCGAGTATATAAACGCTCAACTTGTAGATTGTACTTTAGTTTATAATCATCTGCTGATGATGCTAACATGGTTAGCGAAACGCGCGTCCAGTGTAAAAGTAAAAGTGTTTTGGTGTATTGTGGTGATATAGTGTTTTTATTTTGCTATGTTTCAATAAAAAAAACATATACCGAGTGCGTCTCAAAAGTGACTCACCCCTCTAAGTTTTTTATTTTTTCAGATAAAAACGAGATTTGGTATGTTAGTATATGACATAAATTAGGATTGATTGACATATTCAATTGTTTTTCAATACAGCCATAACACTCTAGGTTGAAATTTAAAGTACGATTTATTTTTTTAAGCGAAAAAGTCAAAAGTTGACATATGATATGTCATTCTATTCAGAGTGTCATTTTCTATCGAATAAAGTAAAAATATACCGAGGGTACCTTTTTATTGAAAGGAGGGTACCATTTAAAAATCAAAAGTTCATTTGCGGTGAAACAAAAAAAGTTACATAAAACAATTGAATACGTCAATCAATCCTAATTTATGTCATATATTTACTAACATACCAAATCTCGTTTTTTTTATCTGAAAAAATAAAAAACTTATAGGAGTGAACCACTTTTGAGACACACCCGGTATTTAGGTCAATCAAGTTAATATAAAATTCCCGAGTAAAAAACGACACTTTATTTTATTGGAAAGTTTTTTATAAGAAACATTTTTGTCATATACTTACAATTTTGAAATATAATCTGAATTAGAAAGAAATGCAAAAAAAATAATTATTGTTTCCAAGCAATTATTCACAAAAATAATAATATTTATATAATAATTTATTTTTAATTTTTTCCAGAAGTCTCATTTACAAACCAATCTCATTAATGAGATATTTATTATTTATTTATAAAACACATCTCATTATTGAGCCAAATTTTATTTACGATTTTTGTTACAGAAAACCGTTTTTTTATAATATTAATAATTAATTTCTATATTATATATAAATCTCTTCAATGTTATTATGCAGTTGTTCTTTTTTATTCGTTAGATGATACATAATTTCAACAGAGACGGATTCGCCACGATCAAAAGCCAGGGCGGGGCTCCCAATTATTTCCCGAACAGTTTCAACGGACCTAGGAACGACCCTAGAGCTAAGGCTCTCTATCCCTCTATACCTCTATCTGCTCACACTCAAAGAACAGACAACGGTTCAGAAGATAACTTTACTCAGGCTGGGCTTTTGTGGACGAGGGTATAATATTTTCTTTTTTATTTTTATTTTTTATTTTTATTTTTTTATTTTTTTTTTTATTTTTTTATTTTTTATTTTTTATTTTTTTATTTTTTTTATTTTTTTATTTTTTTATTTTTTAATTTTTTTATTTTTTTTATTTATTTGTTATTACCATTTATTTTATTTATTTTTTTTTGCTCACAAATGTCAAAAAATGGTCATGACGTCTCTAATGCATGAATATAAAATATATAGATAGTAATAGCTCCTTCCTCAGTCCTTAGATTGAATAAATTAATCTAAAAGGATTTTAATTTTAAATGTAGGTTCTGAAAGAAGATGAAAAACAAAGGACAATTGACAACATGGTCAACTGGCTGAAACAAACCAATAAGGTAATAGCAGAAAGGGCTATTCGTAACTTCGACCAGGTGGATATAAGTTTGGGCTCAAGACTACGTCAAAGTCTACAGTTGCAATTCCATTTGACCACTCAAGTTGAACTTTAAAAAATGATGTAGAGGATTGAAGAATATTTTCCTGTATAATTATAATGATAAAGGTATTTCCTTGCATGCTCGGTATATTTTTGCTTTTTTTGTTTGTTCTTATTATTTCTTTTGTTTATTTTTAGTTTCTGTTATTTATCTAAAAAAATATATTAATAATAAATTTTTGTTTGCATGAGATTTTTTGTTTTATTTTTATTTTTTATGTGCGTGACTATATTTTTTATTTTCATTTTGGTTTTAATTTTTTTAATAAAACTCAACTTCGTCTATTTATTAAATAACTTGAATTCATTTCTTCGTTTTTTTTTGTACACTTGGTTATTACAGTATTTTTTTTTAATATCCTTAGTTCTGTGAGTGTTACTAATATTTATTAAAACCAAGCCTGTATTGTGTCACTTTTTAATCTTCTATGTGAAATATTTTTAATGTTTGGTGTTCTGAGTTGTAATCACTGTCGATACGACTTTATAATAATGGTCACCAAAGCCACCTCGTGATACTAAAAAATAACCTCATAAAATAATGATTAAAAATTACAAATTGTTGATGGCAAGTTCATTTCGCTCTTAAAAACCAAGGACATGAGTCAAAAAACAAAAATGCTGAGGGGACATGGACATGGTTGCATGGTTCCGATCGAAAAAATGATGTTTTAAGAAAAGTTACTCACGAAATTATTGCACAGGGTGTTTTAAAATTAGGATAAAAACAACCCTTCAATTAACCCTGTGTAATAAGCCAAATACTACAGTTAAAAAAACTGAGTTTATAAATTAATGTTGAGAGATTTATACAGGGTGTATTTCGGAAACTTCGGCAGCATATTCTGAAAATTAAAATTCGTATAAATGTATGTCCTCAAATGCTTAGTTTCGGAGAAACAAGGTGTAGAAGTTTCATTTTTATCTCGGTTTTTTTCAAATAATTTATGAAGTAACGTCAATATTTAGATGAAAATTGGTGTCTGGGAGTTTTTTGACATGAGAAATTTGATTTTCATTTGATTTCAAAAATACGAGGAATAGTTATGTTTTCCATGTATTCTAAAACGTATTTATTAATCCATAGTATCTAACTAGCGTGACGTCATAAATCTCGCTCCGAGGCTGTTCTATTAGAGACGGCATTGGCCTGATATTTAGAAATGTCAAAAGCTGATGACATTTTACTTTTGACAAATATGACATTTCGTGTTGATTTTTGGTAGAAGAGGAAGAACTGTCACTTGTTTTATTATTTTCGTTTTCTATTTCACGAAAGTAAAAAGAGTTACCTGTCTGATTCGTTCTGGCACTCAATTTAAAGAATATCAGTAACTTTTTTGACAGAGGGATTTTATATTTGCCGTGTTGGTAAAAACTAACGGTCAAAATTCAAAGTTATTCATTTTATAGACTATAGTTATTAGACTGAAATTATAAATTTGAAATGTTTTTATGCCAAAAGTTCAACAGAAACTGTTTAATTATTATTTTTTCGCAGAAGAATTTATGATTAATTTAAAAAAAAATATTTCAGTCAAATAACTATACTGAACCTGTGTTTATTTTTTGTCAATAATGACATGTATTCACTATTTCCATTCTAAATATCTAGAGAACGGTTGCTTGTAGCTATTTTTACCAAGAGACATTTTCTACGTAAAAAGTCTTGGAAATGTATATTTTTTCACTCAGTAGTTTTATACAGGTACGGACGAGAAAAGTTATTACTCTTCAAAACAGTTAAAACACATGTATATGTGGCGCGCCCTACAAATAGGAGTCATATTGACATGAAAATCAAATTTCCCATGTCACAAAACTCACAGACACTAATTTTCATCCAAATATTGACGTTACTTCAGAAATTATTTGGAAAAAATCGAAATAAAAATTAAACTTCTACACCCTGTATCTCCGAAACTAAGCATTTTAGGACATACATTTATACGAACTCTTTTACTTAGTTTTATCTGCAGAATATGCTGCCGAAGTTTCCGGAATTCAGTTCGGACCACCCTGTATATAGTTTGCTAAAAAATTCATGAAAATAGGGCTAAAGTTAAAAAAATACAACAAGAATTTTCCGTTCCGTTTATTTTGCATATGAGTGTTTTTTTTTAATTGTGGCCCTCTTATAACAAAAGGTTACCGACCCCTGTTCTAAAGCCTTCTACTATATCAGCCATCACATCTCATGCCGTACAACCAGCGACCTAACTCTTCAGCACATACCTACGTGCCTTTCTGCGCTCCCCATAGAAAATCCACGTAACTTGAAAACACTCCCACACATCATTTTTAATTTCCCCAAATCCCCCCGTTGCAATTTATCGCAATCCCCCCATAATACCGATCGAATATCGAAAAATCTTACATATAACTCCCACAAAAACCACTTAGAACCAGTCTTGTACAAACGTTTACACAGGCTATGTTATTTCTTCAATTAACCTGTGTGTTTTCAAAACAAAAATCATATGTTTTTTTTTGGCTAATGAACAAATATCCTGTTTCACATGTGATGATTCTTTTAAATTATCTTCTCCACTTGCCCTTTTATACGCACACGTTCCTCCCGAAACCATGTGTGTCCTTTTATCTCTTCCCCGTTATGTTTCCTTGATGCTTATGTGGATTTTATTTCCAATGTATTCACGCATGACTGCACAGCCGATTGAAAGATAATCGGGGAAGTGCACACCGCCACACGGACACCTGTTCCAAGTTAATTTCACAATTTTTTCTCCTGTTTTTCTTGTGCGTGTCGCCTTTGGTGTCGCCCGGAAAGGCTTAAGACAAGGCCGAACCGCGGGAACGCTCTGACGTGCGATGTCGAAAGTGCCACAAGTGATCTTTGGCCATCAGGAGAACAGAAGAACGTCGGTGGTGCGGGGATCGGGTTGCTAGATGGAGAATTGTTGTTTGGGGAGGGAGGAGAAGCATCGTGCGGCGCGACGCGCTTGACAGAGGTTTTGTAGGGGATGGAGAATGTGTATTTCTTCCAATGGTATATTCCGGCGCATTCGCCAGTATTTAGAACAAATATACAGGGTTCGGTAATAGTGCGTCGGGCATCTGTTGCTCTTAGAATAAAAAACTTAGGAATTTTGTTTAAGTACAAACGTAAAGTATGTCCGAGAATGTATTTCAGGAAAGGCCGTGACACACGAGACGCGAGAGGAAAAGTGGTAACTTATGTGAGCTAGCATATTGAAGAAAAATGTGGGTCGATTTCAGCATAATCGGGGCTTCAGGAAGACGCCTTCGACGTTTCGAACGTATGCCTCTAAATCATCAGGATTTGTCTTAATTATGGATCGATTGGAACCAAACTCGGCACGTGGATAGAAGTACCTAAATGTAGTTCTCAGAGGAACAGACAGACAGACGAAAGTAAGAAGTTCCGCTTCAAACATGCGTTCATAGTGCACACACAATTTTTTATATAATAATTCCCCTGTATACTGGATTTAAGTCACTGGACAAATCTAGGTCGCGAATATAACTTAAAAAGATTAGTAGGGTGGAATAAGTACAGGGTGGGGTTAGCTTAAGGGTTTACCGCACGAAATTATAGCACGCTAGTGCAAAAAATGGTAATTAGTTAAGTCTTTTAGATTGATTCTATATTTAACCATGACAGTATAAGGAATGAATAGGTTTTACGAGTTTGACGCTAGTTTTACATCCTTAATTATAATATACAGGATGGTCCGAACTGTATTCCGGAAACTTTGGCAGCATATTCTGCAAATAAAAATAAGTAAAAATGGTCGTATAATTGTATGTTCGAAAAATGCTTAGTTTTGGAGATACAGTTCAACTTTATTTCGATGATTTTTCCAAATAATTTATGAAGTAATTTCATAAATTACTTTTATAAAAAAAAAATTTTAAGCCATTTGAGAACGTTCGTGAAATAGGCCACTTTTGAGAAACTGGTATACTGAACTTTAAAATTCATGAAAGTTATTAAGGATAATATTATAATATATTTTTTTTTATTGTGAATTGATTATATTTCTTATAATACATAGAAATAAATACATAGACAATATTACAATATATTTTTTATTTAATTTGAATATTGAGCTAGGAGTATTTATTGAACTATACCGCACTGGCCTGAAAAAATAACCGATATAATAGAAGGGTGCGGTAAAGAAAAGGTGTGGCACACAGTACATTTTGCGAATCTGATCCTACGCACACACATTCAACATAATTTCAACAAGTGGCCCATTATTCACCCAGCACAGGAACTAGCCCAGATTCTATTGAACTAATACAAGATGAAACCGTTTTTTGAACGCGCTCAACCGAGCATTTGATTTATAGCAAATGGAAATTGGTATAAGAGACGGCGGTTATCTTTTCGAGTGGTTCTAATAGCTATTAATGGATGATATGTGGCTCTAATTGAAAAATTACCGGTAGTTTTGATTTGAATAGAGGCCTGTTTGTGTAGAACTAAATGGTTTAAATTTAATTGGCCATCCTCGATTATAAAGCTAATAAAAATTAATACAAGGTGGCGATTCTTATACGTCGCAGAGGCTCCAAGGAGAAAGATAGTTACTATTGAAATGAAATTTTGTGACCATATGTAGGTTAATTCAGAACACTTTTTAAAAATATAGAGAGTTCTACAGGATGTCCCCAAAAAAAGTTACATATCAAAGTTGTGTTTTTTGTAATGAAACACCCTATATATTAATTGATTTTCGGATTCTGGGAGAAAAATAAAGGTGAGTTTTATAAGAGAAGTATATGACTAAACTGTAAGGTTTTTGACATATTTAACATTTTCTTAAGATAAAGAACAATTTTTAAATTACAATAAAAGCTACCTAAATTGGAATTTACCCGGTATAGCCTAATATGTAATTAAATTAAGTACTGTCTTTTAAATTAAATTAAAACTTAAAAAAACTCCAAAAAGTTATACAGGGTGAGACAAAATTAATATTGAACATTGGTCACCTTTAAAAGCATGTTACTCTTTTATTTTAAATGGAACACCAAGTATATTATTCCGATATTCAATGGAGAATTCATGTCTCTTCAAAATACTATTAAGGTTGCCTACCCCTCAAACAAAGATTTACCTTCCAAAAAAAATTGGGAATTAATTACAGGGGGACACCCTGTATAATTCTATATATTTTTATAAAATGCTTTCAGTT